TTCCTTCTTTCTTTTTTTGTGAAACCATATTCTCATCTTCGACGATTACTTAAGCATCAAGTTTTGTTCCATTTCAAAACAGGGTCTAAATTTCTTTATAAAAGGGTAATACAATATTTCCCTTTTGTTAGCAGATGTTTTATTTACTCATCAAATTTTAATGCAGTAGTCAGGTGTCTTTTAAAAGATGTTAAAAAAATCGTTTTCATTTTCAAACAAAACGTTTCTTTTAATTTTTTTTTCTTTCAACAAACAATAGAAAACGATTTTACAATTCTAAAGATCATGTACTATTCTTTGACATTACGTTTAAAAATAAATATTTATTTAAATCACAATTTTTTAAAGTGATTGCTTAAAAAAAAAAGAATTAAAAAAAGAACACGAATAGTTATGCTATTCCTCACTTTTAAAGTATTAAAATATAATTACATTTATTTAAATATTAGATCACATACACTCTTAGTACTTCGAACTCAGAGGGGAAGGTAAAAATGTCCAAATTATCAAAAATTCGAATTTAGAATGAAAAACACTCATTTCACTAAGTTATTCAAATTCAGTCACTCACTTGAAAAACACTCATTTCACTAAAATATTCAAAAAGTAATAATATACTTTAAAATAGTGTATTTTTAATGATTACCTGCGAGTTGTAACATATTAAATTGATTGTTAATCTGATAAATAACCTACACTAAAATAAAAAACGAATCGATAATTCTGGGACCATCTCTTTAACCGCTTCCCTTAACAATTTTTTTGAAGAAAAAAAAATGCTAAAAATCAACTTATTTTTTTTATTTCATTAATAAATACAGAGAACTAAAATTAAACCTAATACACAAGTTTTAAGTTGAAATTTTTACTCTTTAAATTATAAATTAAGTGTTGATTTATTATTATTAATTCTTAGTCTAAATTAATCGAGCTTTGAATCAGATTAAAAGTAACAAATCTATCTACCTACCTAAATTTATCTACCTACATGTATGATAAAGTACAACAAAAGAAAAAAAAGTATAATTCTGAATAAGTTTTGTTCTAATGAGCGAATTTTCACATATTAAAAACCGACCTTAATGGATTTAAGGAGTAAACTTAAATATTCTAATTAATTAGTGTTAACTATTAAGTTACGAAATCAGACCCCAAAAAAAACGTACTTTCTTCGAATAAATGATTTTTTTCTTTTTTATTGACAGATAGGGATTTTCGACTAACAAAATAGCCCAAAATTGTGGAAAATATGGTTCCAGTAATTTATACACGAGAGCGGTCTTACGTTTGGGGTTAATTTAACTTTTTGCGTATTTCGTGGACTTTTCAAGCAAAGCAAAACATTTTTGCTCACAATTATAAAATTTGTTTTCCTAAGAAAAAAAATGTTCTTTTATTATTTTTTAAGTAACTGTCCAAAATTTTTTTTTTAATCAATGTGAGTCAATTTTTATCCTTTTCAAGCATGTAACTTTAAATGACTAAATTTGAACGAAATCGGTTTAACAGTTTCTGAGATATCCACTTTAAAAAAGTCGTATACTTAAAATTTGATCTCTTGTGAACTACTCTGCAGATTTCATTCTAAATTTGTATTAATTTAAATTTTGCCATAAATAATATAAAATAGTAAATAATATAAACAATCGAAAATAATAAATAGAAAATAAGAAATACTTATTAAAAAGCATTTATTTTTTGCGAATTATCTTTAGTTTAACGAGTTTCGTAGATAAGAGTAAGAATTTTTTTAAATTGCTCTGCAATTATCGTTAGCAATTAAAATAAGGCATTTTATATTTTGCTAATTCTTTGAAAAGAAAACGGGTCTTTTAAAATCACTTGTGGCGCGCTATCGATGTTAAATAAAGTTTGCTAGTTTAAAAATTTCTTTTATCTTTTTGTGGAAAAAATGCGTTTAAATTTATGAATCCGCATTAAAAGTTTTCAAAAAGAATCACAATAATATTTTTGAATTTAGTATATTAAATTCCTCGTTTAATTCATATCACACGTCTGTTGAGGCGAAATTTTATTTTAAATTTAATCAAGATCTTCCTTTTACTGTTCTGCTTTTTTGATGCCTAACGCCTCAAAGAAACATGAGAGCGCAGCGTTATTTTATTTAAATACTGCAAATACCGAGAATGAAAACTTATAATAATGATTGAATGAATGATTCTTGACCTTCCCCAGCAGCAGTTAAATAACATTCCAACTTTTTTGGCTCATCAGTACAGATCTAAAGAGAATTAATCACACAATCCACGAACGAAACTCTCCAATTCAAATTTTAATAATTTAATTGTTAGAACGTAATCCCAAAATCAGTCCAAAAATTGATAAAATATCACCAACCTGAAAGAGCCTGATATTACTAGCTGAGCCTGATATTATCAGTGTGGTTTTGTGTATAACTAAACACATCACTAATTTTCTACTTAAAGAACATAAGAGATATAGTATTTAAAATTGCCTGGAATCATGGGTTTGAGTTTCCTTTTTCTAAAAATTTTTCAACACTGCTCTCCATCTACTAACCTTGATTTCCGTAGAATCATTCCATACTTTGAAAAATTCTAATGATGATCGCACTATAGTTTGTCTACGGTAAGAACTTCCCCTTGCCACAAAGTCTGAGGCCGCCTGCTGCTTTGGAAGCAAGAATAGCGCATTTCAGGGAGGAAAGCTTCTCTTCACTCTAGGGCTAACACAATAGACCGAAGAAAAAGATTCCCTTTCTCTGGTCGATCTGAGCCAAAATCTGTCCTAAACAGTGACCCTGCACCTCTACTTGAAATAGTTACACTTCGTTACCATAGTCTTCGCCACGGGTCCAGACGAATGGCTAGGGGAGTTCTTACTTTAGACAAACTATAGTAGCCCACCCTTACCAAATGTTTGGAAATCTATCCTTATTTGATTTCTAAATCTTTCCCATCTGAGATTCTTATCCTTCACATTTTTTTTGTTTTTTAAATCTGATTTCATCTGTGATTTGTCCTCACAATGACGTCTGTTTTGTTGAGTATTTCGAAATGAATTGATGAAGCTAACGGAAATTTCATTTCTGTTCTGTTTCACTCATGTTCTGGTGTTTCATTTCTGGTACTTATAATCATTCAGAAATTATTCTAATTAATTGAGTCTGGAATGAATTAATTGTGCATGAAACAAATCATCTTTCAAACAAACTAAAACCCTATATGGATGATCTGATGTGTAATCGAAATTGAATTGAATTTTGCAAGAACTGATTGATTTGTAAGCTATACTTAGCATACATTAGTCCCAGAGCAGACTAAGAATATCATAAGCAGTAAGTAAAACCTGAAGGCTAACAGTGAGAGATTTTTCTCTAAATGTAATGCAAAAACAATTCAATTTCACAAGTGTGTTTCTTAAAAACATTTGATTCCTTGCATGATTAAAAGGTTGCAGAGTTGAGCATTAAGAACCATATAAATCCCTTTTTTGGCAAAAACCAAATCTTTAACCTTTTTCTCTTTAATGTTGGTAATAGAATAAAATATCTGGCATAAGTCTGTCTCACATGAATAAAATTTTGCTAGAGTAAAAATTTAATTTTCAATGAGAGTAGCATAATAAATGACTTAACAAATTTTATTGCATTTCAGCAAATCAGATGTAGAATTTAAAGCTACTTGCTCGAAGTGAAAGTTTTTAACACTTAAACTAAATAATTCCAGAGAAATTGTTACAAAAACCACATGATAATGTATTAAAAATAATACAAATTTGATAGAATTCATACACTTTTGTACATTTTCAACAGATTTTATTATTCCATTATTACTAATCAACAAAAATAAAATTTATTTTAAATCTTGTATCTTTTTTTTATAATAACTTAGAAGATTCTTACAGTAACAACTAAAATTACTTTTAAATATTAATTTGTGGATTGTAATATTAGTTTGCTTCAGTATATAACATTCCAATCAGTATTAACAAAAACATATAATAAAAGAAACGTCCAGAAATTCTCAGATAATCAAAATGAAATACAGCAGAACCTCGAAGGATTCTTTCTCACCGAAGAATTCTTTGTGAACGATAGATACAGGACTACACAGGTCAACATAAAATATTGAATAGGGATTTGAAAATATATAAAGAAAAAATAAAGAAAAGGTAATAAGGAAAAAATGGATTTGAAAATTAATAAATATATAATAAGTATTTGAAACTTTAGTTGAAAAACTCAAGAACAATTATTATGAATTTATAAATAATTATGATGCAAAACAAAGAAAAGGACTCACATTTATTTATTTAAATCATTTAGAAAGTTTGGTTTGAACACTCTTTTCTTCTTACCAAAAACAATAGATTTTTGACATTTGTGACAGATTGCCATTAATTTTTTGCAACAGAAAATAGAAACTTTCTCAATGTTCCAAATGCTTTGAGGCATCCCGCTAATGTTGACGCTGTTTGTAGACCTGTTTCGCCATTTTCATTGGCATCATTTTGCATTTCTTCAAATTAAACTTGAATCAACCACAAGTTTCAACATTTTCGTAAACTGATGCATAAATATCAAGCTTGATGTTTCAATCATAATCATCAAACTGTACCTAATATTCATTTTCTTCCTTCCAGAGGAGTAACTATTTTTCTTTCAAAAATGAAAGAACTTACGAGAACAATGTTGGGCAGCATTTCTGAACGATAAGCGAGGATATCCACTAGTTTCAAAAACAATCTAAGCAAGTGTTTTTGTTAGTATAAGAACAGCATTTGTAAGGAAACATTTCAAACAAGATGATACAAACAGAGAAAATGAAATATGAGGGAACATTGACTGTACTTAATCTACAAGAACATTTTTCTGAACATAAACTAAGCCGAAATACTTTATTTGTAGAAGTAAGTCTCAAAAGTAACTAAGTATTCATTATTTAAAACCAAGAAAAAATAATTTATCTATTTTATGAAAATAAATAATTACAAAAATCGACATAGAAATACAAAAAGAGATTTAAAAAATAAATATTTATTATTTTTAAAAAAAATACATAACAGTCAACAGGTATCAGCTTTTGCTGTGTTGAAGCAACGAGTTTCTAATGATGAGTAAAAGCATATCTAAAATATAGGTGTTCATTTTAAGATCCTGAATTTTGCTAAAAACACTTGAAATTCCACAATTTAAAGCTTCCTTTGATTTAATCCAAGGCACTAAGGACACTATTGCATATAAATGCTGACATATCCTGATGATATCTTGACCCAGATAACCATCTAACAAAAAGAATACGGCACCTCGCTTATGAATGTTTTCCAAAATGGCATCTATTTCAGACAGGCACTTTGTGACTGCGCAGTCAAAAGTCATGTTGTTTCCAACGGGTGACCAGCAAGTAATCTTATCTATTTTAATAGTAGAGTTCTTAAGGGACTCTGAGTGAGTTGTCAAGTAATTAGCGAGTTGTTCTGATGCTAGTTGAGATAAGAGTAATTCTTCAGCAAACACGTTCAATTCTCCTCTGTCGAAAGGATGTTCATCGCCCTGAAAAAAAGAGTTAAAATGAACTTTATGAAAACAATTTAAAAGAGTTTTGGATGAAAATACAGTTGAACCTGTTTATCTCGAATCTTAATCTAATCTAATATCTCAATCTAAAAATTATTCGTTAGAGTTTAGAAGTGTTCTTATTTTTCGTAATTTAAATATTAAATTGTGATTTCTAATTATTTATATAATTTTTTTTTATATTTTGATATTTTTTTTAATATTTATCTTTTCCCTTTTTGCAAGGAACTAAAATATTTATTTTAAAAGTGATTACTGTGAAGTCATCTGTATAGATGAATATAAATGTTATTATGGCTTGTTTGTTGTATTCTTGTTGTTAATTAAGTTCAACAATAAGACAAAAAAAAAAACTTAAAATAGAACTTTTTAAAAATTAAATAGTTGGTTCCATCTTATTATTCTCAAGATTTTTTTTTTTTTTTTTTTTTTTTTTTNTTTTTAGGTCTTGATCATCAGTTAAAATAAAAGTAGAAATGTACTGAAAATATACAAAATAATGCTGAGTAAACTCAGTAGTTTTTCCCCTACTTTTAATGGCTACTTTTGTGCTAAGAAATCATTATCAATCAATGTTGTTTCAATTTTACTACTTATAGAAATGGAAGGAAAAAAAACTTAATTGGAAAAATTTATGACGCATTTTATTTAATGAGGCTATTTTCATAGTGCTTGTCAAATTCTAAGGAATGAGGGTATTGTCCCAAAAAAATTTAAACAGAACAAGAATGTAGCTATAGTAATATTTAACAAAATTTTTAAATAGGTAGAATTAAGGAAAAATTAAATTTCAAAAATTCAAATATCTTTTGGGAGATTTTCCCCAAAATTTGGAGTGTGCAGATTTTTTTGAATTTTGCAACCTCATACCTGCCAACTTTTACGCATTTGGCATCAAATTTTATTTTTATATTTAAAGTGGTAATAAAATGTATACTTTCTATATATTCCTAGCATTTATAAACTTAATTTATAATCTTTTTGATCACCAGTATTTAAAAAAAAATTTAGCATACATATCAATATGTAAGACTTTTATGGTAGTCCGCATTAGTTTATTTAAAATAACACGTATGTTTCTGTCTAAAATTGAAATTTATATTCCATATTACTATCACTGGGGAAAATCATCCTTAAAAGGATTAAAAGTTGGCAGGTATGCAACCTTGTTATCAGATTCATAAAATACGCAAAAGTATTGCTTTTGATTAAAATAATCAGGACTTAAGCATAAGAGATTAAAGAGAAACTAAATAATCTGTTTCCTCACCATATTATCCAACACATTTTTCTCATACAGAAGCATCCAATTAATAAATATTCCTATGTAGTCTTGAATTGAGAAAATATCCAATTGTAAAAAAATTCTCAGCATTTCTTCAAGGGCTTTAGTAGAAACAACAGGTAATACTTGATTATCTAAAAAAAAATATAAAGCCTCAACAAAGAGAAAAAAAATACAAAATCTTGAATAATTGTCCCTAAAATAAGCAATTTTTACATTTTAAAACTGAATTAAAAATGTAGAAGACGCATATTGTAAACAATTTTTTTTTAAAATGAACATACAAAAAACAAAAAGAAGAAGAAGAATAGTATAGTACGACTGTCAGGAGAACTCCTCCAGACATCTGTCTCCAGTCGTGGCGGAAACTATGATTATGAGGGTAAGTCACTTCTAACAGGGGTGCAGAGTAAAAGTGATATCTTGCAAAAAAGTTGCTTGTCGAATTTCATAATAGATTATTCCTGTAGATATTTTTCAAAAGAGTTTGTTTTAAAAATTAATCTTTAAACATTGCTTTTTTATCTTCTTAATTAGATATTTATTAATATTTATTAAAGCGTTACAGTTCTTAAAATTACATAGATAAAAAACACATGTAAGAAATAATGTTATAGAACTTTCTATCTGTAGTGTAAATGCTTTATCTCATCGTTTAATAGAAGGTATTATAGAGCTGCATGGAAATAAGATTCTTTTTTATAAAAACGAAAATTGCACTGAAAAAACACAAATGCAAATTTGAAATCGAAAATTGCTTTTTGTTAAAACAAACACCAAACTAATAGTTATGGCTAGAATTAATTTAATAATAAATTTTGATGTCAAAATCATTCATAAAATTTCAATTATTTATGTATCTTTTAAATAACAATGAAATTTAATACATTTCAAGCTTCATTTCCGAAAAGTCATATTTTCACTAAAATGTCCTTTCTTAGGCAGGAATAAAAAGACGTGATGTATCCAGTTTATGAAATACTTATTCCAATTCTATGCATGTAAAAACTATTAATAAATTAATCACTTATAAAAAGAAAAGCTACAGATAAGAAATCTAAGCCTCTTGAATATAGTGATTAAAGAAAGATAAATATTTTTTTTCAGAGGAAAAAAATAATGATCGAAAAAATAATAAATTTAAAATAAATTTACGTGTCACAATGTCTTTAATGCCGTATTACGGCATGAAAATTAAATTCAAATAAAAAATATGACTTTAAAACAATATTTACACTTAAAAATATTTCATTACACTTTAAAAAATTTTAAAAGAAAATTGTCAGCTTTTTCTTCCTTATATAACTTAACTTTTATTTTAAAATTCAAAACTAGTGCAATTTTATTTCCAACCACTTATAAAATTTTTAAGACCATTTTGGAAAATTACGCGCCTCACATGAGTATTGCTCATAATCTGCCTTCCATTTGTGAGTAAAAACAAACAAATCAGAAATTTCCTCACCCTGTTAGATGCTTGTGTAATATTGGAATGGCCCCTCATTANACTTATATAATTTTTTAAGACCATTTTGGTAAATTACGTGTCTCACATGAGTATTGCTCATAATCTGCCTTCCCTTTGTGAGTAAAAACAAACAAATCAGAAATTTCCTCTCCCTGTTAGATGCTTGTGTAATATAGGAATGGCCCCTCATTATATAATCAAAATTACATACCATTATTATAAATAGTTTGAATTTTCACAACAATAATGGCAGCTATCTCTTTCACTTCAGGTTCATCATCAGTCAGAATAGCTAAGAGTGTTTCCCATAAATACAATGCAAGATTACCTAATTTAACAAAATGCACAAAAAAAAATAATAAATAATTTTATAAGCATTTAGTGATAAAAAAAATTTTTTTTTAAAGATCTTTGCCAGTTAAAACATTAATATACAAAATAGAATGGAACTATTAAGTTCAAAATAGCAACTGAAGATCAAGGGAAAAGTACAATTTATGTCCATGAAAACTAAATTCTTAGAAAAAGTAATATCAAGGCAGGAAGACTTTTTTTTTTACCACACGATTAATTTTCACTGTGTAATAACTCCTCTTCAAGAGAACCAATTTCTCCATTTATTAATTTGTCAAAAACTAGTAATCCTCGAAATACAACAAATTGCAATCTAATTGTCTTATTTGTGAAAAATATGCATAAACCATTCTTCCCTCTTTATGTTCAACAGATAAATAAATTAGTAAAATATATGAAAAATGATTATCATGCAAAATATATATATATATATATTTTATTGTAAATAAAATCTACTCAATTAAAAGAACATCAAAAAATCAATTATTTCCTTCAAATGAAACTAAAATGAAATGAAGCAATTTTACTTAAACAAAAATTTCAGAATTAAGGAAGTTTTAGAGAAATATAGTGAATTTAGGTGGCACACCAAAGGAGGTTTTAGTACTGGATTAAGAGATCTAAACCTTAAATTCTATTGAACACTGGTACTGGATTATCACAGTTTATATTACAGTCCTACGAAATTAACATTCTTTTCAAGAGCTTCTGTTGTGTACAACACCATTTGTTGGGAAGCTTTATAACTAAATTCTGAAAATTTTATAGCCTTCACCATAGACATAGTTCGTTCACCATGAGTCGGCACTCAGCTCTACCTCCTTGGACGCAGAGTTCATTTCACCGCGGAAGTGAGTAGACAAACATCTCCACGCTTGAAATTGAGACAACCCTTAATGCGTGCTAAACACAAACAGTGAATTCTTTTTCAGTCACTTACTTCGCTTCATTATTTTCTATTATATCTTTCGTTACTCTAGCTATTTAAATATATTTTAAATTTAAAAACGGCTGTTTTCCCAGCAAAATGTCTCAAAAAGGACAAACTAATCACTCAAAAGAGAGAAATATCATAAAAAATGGTGCAAAATATCATCAAATTTATAAAATATTTAATGTTAAAAAAATGCTGATAAATTTTATGAAATAAATATTTCTGCCATACGATTGCCAAATAGCAGCCTTATCAACCTTCTAACAAACATAGAGAAATAGTATCGTCGCATACCACATGAAGAAGGCAGAGCCAAGTGCCAACTCCAGATGAACGAGCTTTATATTATTTGTTTTATTCTTTTATCATCCTTTTTACCAAGATATTTTTTTAAAATCAGTTAGTCCTCTGCTGGAAATCCTGTATTTAAAAGCAAATTAATTTTAGAAAGTTATTTTCTTATTTCTGAAATATTTTTAGTCAATTAACGCATTTGATTCAACAGAAAATTAAGCAAATTTAGGAAAAATTTATTACCAAATATTTTTGATTGATTGAAGAAGGATTCGTCACAGAAGTCTTGCAAAATCTTTGCTACGAGTTTTCTTCTTGGTATGGAATTCTCAGGCTCAGCATTTTTCTTAAATGCTTGGAAACTTCGTTCCAGAATCGAAGAATATTCATCCATCTCCATTACTGAAAAACTCTACAAAATATGCAAAAGAATTAAATTAAATTGCAAGTCCATCAAAAGCATAGATCAAAGGCCTTCACGTTAATCAATTTAAACAAAATAATGCATGTTACATGAATAAATAATCCCTTAAACGTAGATTGGAAAAATATACTTGATTAATTTTACTATAGTTAATTGTGAGCCCAACTCAAAAATCTGAAAAATTTTCTAAGTAAAATCATTAATGACACATTTAAAAAAATTAACGTCTTTATAAATTTAAATCATTGATATTTCCACAACATGAAATTCTATTTAAATTATATGCAGTGTAATTTAAATGAATAATTATGTATAAGTTTACTTTTATCTCTAATTACATTTATTACTACCAGAAAAAATATTTACAAATGAAGGAGATGCCAAGCATAAATTCTAGTTCTAATGTTTTTAAATGAAATATAAAAAAAATTTTATACATAAATGTGATAGATGATATCTTAAAACTTCTGAACCTTGGATTTCCGGAAGCTTCCGGATCGCGGTTAGCGAAAAATCTGGAAATCTGGATTTTTTCCGGAGCACAATCATCTCTGATTGATATAATAATGAAATTTCATATTGTATGAAGATGGCAAAAGTTAACATATTTCGAGTGCTCTAATATCGATTTCCAACTTGTTGCAAGTTACTGAACTTAAGGCTGCACATTCAGATATTTGCTTATGTCAAATAAGTGAACTCAATTTGGAAGTTTCGAATCAATCTAAGATGCTCAAGGGATGAAACTTTCACTCACTAGTTCGCCATTGGCAACTGAATATTTAGGGCAGACTAGTAAATTCTGTTATATAACTGTGGGCAAAAAATAAAATATTTTCAAGTTAGTAAAGGATTTGATTGACCTTTCAAGCTGTTTTAGATCTGATGATAGAATACAGTAATTTTAACTCTTTTTATTCACTTTGTCTATTATGGCACAAACTTCTGCTGTAAGGAAAAGTTATTTTATCTACCATTATCTTCTTGATCAATGAAAGTACATTATTAAACTCCATAATACAAAAGTATTGCAAACAAACAATTCAAATTAATATAGTTTTAAAAATTACCTCATATTTTTTCAGGAACAGGTTGCTAACACAAATAACTGTTTTACCAATCAGTAAAATAAGGGAATCCACTATGTCCTCTCTGAAAAACAGAAACAGCAATACATTATTGAATCTACAAAGAACGAAATTAATTGACTATTTCATTCAAAATCAATGCAATCCAAACAAAATAATTTACTAACCATACATTACAGCTAGCAAGTGAAAGCTGAGGCAAGTCTAGGTTGTGAACACCTATGTTCAACTAGTAAATAACATTGCAATTTTGAACTTAATCCAGAAAACAAGAGAACTTTTGGATTAATCATCAGCATTAACATCCTTCATAAAACTAACCCTTATAAATAGAATAAGGTGAGAGAAACCACAAAAAATTCCAACGATTAGGAATGGAACTTTAACCCCTGGACCTTATTATGGAACTTTAACCCCTCTACCACGAAGGATATTTTTATATTGGCACAGATTTTGGTTTCGGCTGGAAGACGAATTGCAGGTTGAGGATAATGGAAATACACATCTCATAATATGAATAATATATAAGTGCAATAATTTTTGGCACAGCCAAATCCTGTTTAAGCCAAATCCGAAATATCGAAAATTTCAATGTAACGAATTTTTTTCAAATCCCCAAATGAATCTCTATAGAACCAATGGTTTAAAAATACCGATATTACGAAATTGGTAATTCAATGTAACAAATATTTTTCAAATCCCCAAATGAATCTCTATAGAAACAATGGTTTAAAATTACCGATATTACGAAATTGGTAATTCAATGTAACGAATATTTTTCAAATCCCCAAATGAATCTCTATAGAAACAATGGTTTAAAAATACCGATATTACGAAATTGGTAATTCGATTTAACAAAGTAAGCAGCAAGTCTCATTTTATCTCCTCATCAAAACACTTTTCCATTCTTCAAAAGTACAGAATTATCTCAGAATTCAAATATTTTTGCATCTTCAAAAAAGAAAAAAAAGGCTTCAGATAGGAAAGGGATACATCAAAAAAGATGAATCACTCGGAAGGGACCACCCTGAAATGACTAAACCCCAACCCATTCATGTTTGAAGAGGTAAAAATGCATGTCATTTTCCAAATAAGTGATTTCCAGTTCAGTTGTTTGAAAATATGCATAATTTGGAGAAGTTTGTAATTTCTACTGGTTCTAAACCATTTGCACAGAAAAAAATTACGGATTACGTAATTTCTGATAAGTAAGTATAAATCCGTTGCTCCTTTCAATTCAATTGTTTTTGTGAGCTTTGAAAATATTGATTTAATATTTTCTACACATAGAGTACAAATAGATCAAAACTGTAATTAAATGCAATACTTAATTTTTTTATGAGAAAAATTCCAATACAACAAAATAATTTTGGTTAATGTTGAAATTCGTAATATCGGTTTAACGAATTTTCGTTAATGCGTAGCGACTGCTAATTGATTCAAAAATTGATTTTATTCTTGTAATGTACATACTTTAACATACTTCATTCTATTTTATTCCTGCATTGATATCATTTGTGCAATTAAAAACAAAATAAAAAAATTTTAAGCATGTTAATAACAAAACAAATTGACAGTCTTTAAAAGTGTGAAGAAAAAAGTTTGCCAAATGTTATTTTTCCAGTTTACAAATGCTCTATTTAAGTTACACTATTCCTTGAAGACACAACCAACTCTATTTAGATTAGCTGGGGGAATAAGACGCCCAGAAGCTGAGTGGTAGAGCTTTACACTCTCGCACCACAGGTCCTGGGTTCGATCCTCGGACCAGGCAAGGTAGACTCAGCCTTTCATCTCTTCAGTGGGTACCAAAATGAGTACCAAGCATGCTTGGGGACTAACCACCAACTTGAACATCTGCTCCTGCACCCCAGAGGCCAAGGTCAAGAAAACTGAGATGAGCACCTTCGCTCTCTATGGGCTGTCGAGCCACTGAGTTTAGTAGAGGGAATAAGAACAAATAAAGTGGCAACACTAATAGAAGTGAGGAGCAATCTAAGAGATGTCCTAGTAAGCAGCAAAACATGGGAGAAATTGAACTAAACTTTCCTGCACATTATTTTGTTAAAATTTCTAACTAATGGACAAATGTTTCTCTCCAAAACGTAATATTGAAGAAATTTGTTAGGTTTATCAAATGGAATATAAACAACAAATGTACTAATCTTTGAACTGAATCATTCTACTTACCTTTCACATTCCTCAAAGAAGGACAGCAAACATTCTAATTTCTAAAAATTAATAAAATTAAAATAATAAGTGAAAACTAATATATAGGTGCATATCATTACATACTGTAACTAACTATACTGCACAACCTAAACTATACTGCATGTTTTATTATATTCATAACTGGAAATCATTACGATTTAAACAAACAATTTATGTGACAGTGCAACATTTTTTTTTCATAGCTTTAGTTCAAAATATTATCAGTAGAAGGAGCTGCTTTGACTGTTCTTTCTGTTACATTACAATGTATTTGTTAGGTTGCTCTTAAATAAATGTTAATTACAGTGGGCACAAATACCACTAAAATAACAGGGGGTTGGGGGTTTCGAGTATTTGGGTGCTGCTATTCTTCTACTAAACAGTCTGATTTAAAAAGGGTTGATTGTTCCTCATGCTGATGCTGAATCATAATAAAATTTGCGATTTTTAAGTATTTTTCTTTCATTTAGACATTGACGAACTTCAGTGCCATCTGTAGATAAAATTTTGAATTAAAACCAGAAATTCTAGGAACAAAAAATTTATGCACTGTCATATAGCTTTTTAGCAAATTTTTATAAAACGTTTATATGTTTTTCTTCTTTAAGCTTTTAAAAATCGTCAATATATTTAAGACACTCTGTATGCATGCAGATGAAGTTCGTAAAATCAAAACTTCAGAATAAGTCGGAACATTGAGTATTAAAAATTCAAGAACTTTGCAAATTTTAAAGTTTTAATATATTTCAAGTTCAATATTTTTTAAGTTTAATATGTATTTTTTAATATTATTAAACCGAATACTTAAATCAAAAGTAAAGTTATTTTATCAGGAGTAAAGACAAAACATTGTCAAAATTGACATTTTTTTATAATAAGCTATCTATTGCAAAAAAAATTTCATCTCAAAAATAAATTTTTTTTATTAGTTTTTTAAAATTCTATTTTAGAGTTCATAGAATAGATAGAAAATAGTTGTCAAGCCAATTTACTCGAAATCTATCGTGAGACACTTATGTTGTTTTTTCAACCAAATGGCAGTATTAAACATTCAATAATTAAAAAAAACAACTTACATTCAATGCGTCTGATGAATATTCAGCCTGCACGAATGACCATTTCAACTCAACAGCGTGAGGCATTGAGCATAAAAGCTGACACAGCTAAATAAAATAATACAATTAACAACTAAAAAAATAATGTATATTTTTACTAATAAACAATTGCTACACATTTTGAAAAAAAATCATACAAGAATAATTACTGTGTTACAATTTTATAAAATATGAAATAGAAAGAAACAAAATTATTATAATTTTTTTTTTAAGCAAAAAAAATAATATTGACTAAAACAATATCTTTACCAAAGGGAAAATCACAAATTTTAAAAATATGTAATCTTTCTTTGGCACCAAAGTATTATCTAAAGCATATAATTTGAAATAAAAGCTTACTTTGATAAAATATTTGAAATTTGTGAAATAAATAATAGAATGATGGAATCATTGTCATTGATAATATTGTATTGAATCAAATATCATATTACCGTTTATGACAATTAAACAAATATCTATGTGGAACCATTATGATTAAAATGATGAGCTTATAAAATTTTCCTATGATTTAAAATAGTCAAGTTGTTATGACAAGTGCAACCAACTTATCACACAACAAACTTTTTACTGTTTTTTACAAAACAAAGTTAAAAATGTTCTTCAATTGCAACTCAAATGTAATTTCACTTTTGGGTTCTTGATTGTAAAATTGGTTCCATCAAAAAATCTTGATGGTTTATGTAGGCTTCAGTGCATCTCATAATTATCCAACATCATTTGATGGTCACCAGCATCCAACATTTTCTATTATGCATTCATGGTTTTTTATAAGCCAACAAACTTCTATCATAACATGATTTTACTCTAAAACTGTGATGATTAACCATCAAGAAGTTTGATTCTCATGGACCAACAAGCCACGGTGATCTGCGATGGTTCCAACTATACATTTCCATGATGGTTTAATTGGAATTCTTGTTGGTTCTCAGGAATATACCATCTGGTTTTTGTATGTTGGACCATCATAAATCAGTGTGAATTCCTACATCGGAGAGATTATTGTTCGTGATCCTTTCAACATTAGATTTCTAAGAAACTATGATGGAAATTTCTGATGGTTCAACATAAACAAACCATCAAAAAAAGTTGCTATTCTTTTGCAGGACCATCAGAAATCATTCCAAATTCCTACATTGCAGTGTGATGGTTACTTGTTGGTTACTATAAAAAAATGAAATGGCTCGTGATGGAATTATTGACGTTTACCATAAAAATTATGTAGGTTCATCAATGGAAAGCGAACAAAAATTTTGACTAAGGAAAAATAATTTGAAAAAAAGTGTAAAAGTTAGTAAATACAAAAAGGAAATATAAAACATGGTATGTAAATTGGATTTAAAAAAAATACTTACTTTACCAAAGCATGTAGAATTTTTTCTTTCATTATGAAGCATATCAATGAGACACACCACTAACTCATTTTGCTTTAAAATACTCTGGAACCGAAGTTTGTGCTTTTGCATCAAAAAATGAATGGAAGATTGAGGGAATCCTTCTAAGAATACAGGTTCAACAAGAAATTCATCCAATGAATTTTCAGCAAACCAGATCAAAAGCTGTATTGCAGTACATTTAACTGATTCATGCGAACAAGCTAGTAAGTTCAGGAACAGATTACATTTTGAATCACTGTGTTCTTCTGTTAACATAGAATGGAACGTGGTCACAACAGCTGCTATCGACAAATAACGATCTTTATCAGGGCTCGCTGGAGCTGATTGCAGGTCCAGCAGTAAGCTCTCTTTAATACACTGACCTTCCTTAATTTCTAAAAAATAAGAAAAAGACAATTGAAAAAATAAATAAACATTGCAGGGGCGATTGTGAGCCCAACTCAAAAATCCTGAAACTTTCTTGAGTAAAATCATTAATGACGCCTTTTAAAAAATTTATGTCTCTATAAATTTAAATCATTGATATTTTCAAATCATTAAACTCTAATGAAATTATATGCAGCATAATTTAAATGAATAATTATTTATAAGTTTACTTTATCACTAATTACACTTATTATTCTACCAGAAAAAAATATTTACAAATGAAAGCGGCCGCCAAGTATAAATTCTAGTTTGAATATTTTTAAATGTGCCATAAAAATACAAGAATACAAGAATTTTTATACATAAATGTGACCGATGATTTCTTGAAAATTTTGGACATTGGATTTCTGGAAACTTCCAGATCGCTGTTAGTGAAAAATCCGTAAATCCAGATTTTTTCCAGACCACAATCATCTTTGACATTGTAACAACAATGTACATAGGCTCGGGACCAACTCCTTAATTAGATTATCCTTAAAAGCTGATGTGTAAATAATGCAATTATTGAAGAAACAAAAAAGACAATTCAAATTAAAAAGAAGAAAAAAATGATATATTTCATAAAAATTTTAACTCATGCTTTTAATTTATTCCTATGTATGCAGAAATAAGAAAAAAATTCATTATTTTCAAAAATAGAATTCTCTGCAAGCCACTGTGTGATTATAACTATACTTAAAAATGGACTTATTTACTTCCACTTACCAAGCAATAGCCCAATCGCCATTGAGTGAAGAATAATTTCTAAAAAGGCAGCTTTGGTTGCATAACAACTGTTGGAGCTGTAAAAAAAATATAAATAAAATTTAACAGATGGATTTTAAACACCCACCACAATACCTAACAAATATCAATTTAAATCAAGGGACAAAATCAGTGATTTACATTATCACATTTAAAATCTTGTTTTATTTTTTAAAAAAATTAATAAAAATCATGTGAGTCTAAACTATAATAAACTCAGTGGCACAACAGCCCACAGAGGGTCAAGGTCTACTGTGCCCATCTTAATTTTCTTGACCTATGGGCTCTGGGGTGCAAGAGCAGATGTTCCAGCTGGGTGGTCAGCTCAATTTTAGAAGTAAAGATTCTGATAATACAACACATTTTTTACCTGCCAGAACAAATAATATTATTTTAAAATATTAAAATTATACAAAACCTTTTAAAAATGCCTACATAGTCAAACGTCAAAATTTCAAATTTTGAGAAAGATATTAAAAAAAATTTAAATATCCAAAATTCAAATCACAGAGATGACAACTTTTCAGTAATCAGAAGTATAATAGCACAGAATTTAAACAGTTAACATTAACAAAATTCAAATTAGCACAATTTTAAGGTATATATACCACTTAATTATATACAGGTATGTAATATTAATAAAATTATGAATGAATTTACTATGAAATTTTAAAAAAAAGTAACACTTAAATACAGGTATTGTATTAAAATCTATACAACACTGAAATTTTATACTTCACCACAAAGTTAAATTTATCACTTACATTTGAAACATTGCAAAAATTTTGTTCACAACTTTTCAGATTTACGTTTATGATTTTTTGCTTTTCTACAAGGATAGAAGATAAAGTTTCAGAATAGCTTGTTGGAAGAAGGAAAATTAGGTTTTTTTTGCTTTTTTTATTTCGTATTTCCATTAAAGCGTTTTTGTTTTTTATTAATTGTTTTAAAAATTGTTCACGAAATAGAAAAAAAATCTTACATTAAATGCAAACAAAATTCATGACACATGGTATTTAAGGGAAAAACACTTATTTTAAAAAGATACTAAAGGAAATTCTCAATAAACCTAAATTTTATTTCTCAACCATAAGACCATAACATTGACTATGAAATCTAAAATTGTAATAATCACTCATTGCTGCAAACTCTACTAAATTTTGCCAGTTTCTCCTGGTCTACTGGTTTAATAAAATTTCTAGGTTTTGCACATGTTAGAAATATCCCTAAAATTTAGAAAGTTTCCTAAACAAATCCCTATTGAAATAGAAATTTAGTACAGATCATTATTTGCTTGAATAAGTATTAAGTATAAGAATTATTTAAATAAGTATTATTAATACATAATGAAGCGAACCTCATTTACAGAAATAAGCTCAAAACTTTTTTTGGCTCGAAAATGTTCAGTTCATTTTCATTCAGAACTATCTTTTTAATTAAAAAAATCTTTTAACCATCTTTGATAAATTAAATGCCCCCTATGAGATAAATATTTAGTACATTATACATTAATTATCTTGAAATTTATATTATTTTGTAAAACCTATTGGATCTTTTCCTATCCTAGTTGGTAGATATCACTGACTAATTGTAACAATCACTGATTAATTGCAATAATTGACGCAGCTGGAATTATCAAGAAATAAACTGTTACCAGCAAAAGGGTTGAGAAAAAAAATACTTGCACAGCTTTTCTAAAAAGTAATCTATTATACAAAGGAAAATAAAAATTTAAAATGATTTTATTGTTGCATATTTAAGAAAATAATAAGATTTTTATCAATGGAGTTTTCTCAATAGACAACTGCTCAGGCATATTTGGCCTAATTTTAGCATGTTTTTTCAGAGTAACGGCAGCAAATCAGAAACGGCAAAGAGGGGCCACTCTTAATGCCAGCATACTTAAGATATTTCCAATTTAGATTTTATTAAATTTTTTCTAGATTCATTTTTTAACGGCTTTTTAATTTTTCAACAAAAAAAAATTTCTGGAATATTATTTATTTTTATTATAAGAAAACTTTTTTAATTCTGCGTGGAAAAAATGGAATAATTGGAGGTCAAAATAAATTTATCAAAATAAGGGTTTTTAAATAAAGCAGTTCTTGGAAGAAAAAAATTTCTTCGATTTAGCAAGGTTTAACCGTGGTTATATTACACATATGCTGGTGATTAACAATTTAAAAAAATTAACTTCTTACTAAAGATGAAAATTAGATTTACCTTAATGCAAAATGGAAATATTTTGATAAGAAAGCCCGAAGGGTTTGCAAAAGAGTTGAATTTTCTGGTCCATGTGAACTTTCTCGTAAGATGTATGAAATCTATAGCAAAAAAATAAAGTTCCTTAAAAATATAACTAAAAACTGCAAATTTTACAAATAAATATATATGATAAATAAAATGTAAATAAACTTTACACGGTGATTTACTACCACCCTTAAAACATAATTTTATTAATTATTTTTAAAAACCGTGCAGACACACATTTATATACATAGCACAAGAAATAAATACAAAAAGAAAAAAAAAAGAAGAAAGCTAAGAAAATCAATAAGTTTTATTTACTGCACATAAGCTGCAAGAATATAGAACTCATAAAATAAGTTCAAAATGTAGAGAAAACAAGGAAAAATTACAGAATAATAAATTAAAAAAAGTGAAAATTATTCTTCAAAAAAAAAAGAAAAATTTCATAAAAATCCGGAAAAAAAGAAGATATAATCTCTTCATCAGCTCTCACGATTATATCCGTAAAAACGATTGCTACCTAATATTGTATCAATATATCCAAAGCAAAATATATCAATGAAATTTTTTTTAAATAATTTTGTTCTTCTCTTTTTTTTCTTCATTATTCTGTAATTTTTTCCATGCTTTCTCTACATTTTGAACTTATATATATATACACACACATACATGTATATTACTCATATACAGTCGAACCTCGTTAATGCAAAATCGAAGGGACTATCAGAACTATTTCATGTTAACCAGATTTCATCTTATCCGATACAACATGTAAACAATTTATTACATAATATTATTACTTATTATGTACAACATCAATGAATGTATACAATATTATTTACCAAATAAATGTAAATAAACTTAATATTTTTAACTATTTAATTTTAATACTTTTTTTTTATTATTATTCATTTTCCCCTCTTTTTCTTCTTACAGTAAGGAAAAATAGAAATATCATTCTTCAAAATGAATAATTGGCAATTTATTAACATGTTTATTATCTATGCAATGTCCAGTTTCCTTCCATGTTTAGCGATATTCAACTTGGAAATGTCAAAAGCTAAACATGTAAAATAAAATAATTGATTGCTGACTCATGGGACCAAACATGTGTTTCATGTAAAGCAATATTTCATGTTAAATGATTTTGTGTTAATGATGTTCGACTGTATATTTAAGCAAGAAAAAGGAAAAAGTTTTCAAAATATGAACAATTAGTTTTGCGTTCAAAAACAGCAATGGTAGGAATAAAACCATATGAAATCACATTTTTCAACTATGAAGTATAAAGGGAAGAGCATTCCAGTTCCTCAAGGCAATTAAATTAATTTTTGATTATTTTAATCTATCCTTTGTTAACAACAATGAATGATTGGTTAATTGTCTGCTACATTTTTGTTTTGTTTCCTACTTTGATATTAATCAACAACTTCTAGAGTGCATAGTATTTTTTTGCTTTTTTTAATATTTTTTACAAGATTTCTAATAATTTTTATTATGATCTACTTATCTTAATGATGAAAAAAAATGCCAACCAGTATTTCCCCTTTTTTTAGAAAGTTGCATATTAAACATCTTAAGATATGTAATAAAAAAAAGTTAAAAATATTTTTTTTAAAAACTGCTCCTAACTTATATTTAAAAATAATTCAATATACTTACTTGTAACAAAATTCCATGAACTTTATTTTGTTGATAAAGAAAAGTTTCATGAGTTGGCAATGAATCAAATAATGATTGTAGAGTGGGAAGAATGTTTTCAATGGAAATCAAAGACACCATAGCTTTGGCCACCAAGACTCGTATTTTCCACACTGCACTCCCCCCACAAACTTCTAGGAATGGTATGAAAGAGTTTAAACGAGGATCAACTTCTCCAGGTGTAGGATACAGCTTACCAAGAACAAGCAACACAGGATACAATGTCGGAACTTTAGAAACACTACAAAAAAATTATGTTACAAAAATTAAATAAACTTCGACACAGCAACTAATAATAAAATTATTTTCAAATAAAAATTATACAGTTGCTACAAAATGTGAAAAACCCCACTAAGGACTCATCAAAAAGTTGAAGGAAAAAAAAGAATTTTTTTTTTAATGTAGACATTAAGATTTAATGAAGTTTCTATATGTATAAAAGTTCACATATATGAGTTTGCATCGCAACTCCCAATTGATAATGAAAATTAATGAAAATCTTTCTTTTAACATGCATGTAGCGAAAAAAAATTAAAATTTATAAAATACCCAAGTATTTTGTAGGAAGTAAAATATATAAATAAAAAACTAGCCTAATTACCATGAAATGATTAAATATTTTCACATGTCACATTGACAAGTTTAAGAATACAAAAAGGACAAAATATGAAATATATCAAATAAGAATGCATACATCGTTCTAAGAAAGAAATTTTAGAATATTTAATAAGTGTAAACATAGGAATGAATAAAATATACACATGATGTTAAACACATTCAAACTTTCATTCTTACAAGACAAATATTATTTTTCTTAGCTTATTTTGATTGTTGTAATAAAACGGAGTATCCTATTTACATCCCCCCTCAGAGGTTTTTCTTTCTCCCGTGACGTCATTCTTATAGCCATTTACGGTTGACGTCACATTGTCGGTGCGGATAACATAACACTACCACACACATAACACATTCGGTTCAACTGACATGTGCGCATTTTATCTCTTGCCGGTGAATAGAAATGTTGGTTGTTAATGTTCGCCTTCTTCGAAGGGTGATGATGCATTGAGGTAATATAGTATCATTTTCGCGAATGTTTTTCTTGGATATAATTTCCATTTATTTTTCTCACAATAAAAGAAAATTCTATTTATTTATTTTATAACCGTCATTGAACAGCCAACTCAATTTTTTGGGTTTACAACTACTAGTGTTCAACTCTGTTGTAATTTTGAACCCAATCTTGAAGACAAGGGAACTCCTGGATCAAATTGGGAAAAATTTGCTTTTGTGAAGGACTTTTAGGTGGTACTAACCCGTATTTACGTTAACAGAGAGGAAAAACCTTGAAAACCTCCTTCGGTTAGCCTGACAGCAAGGGGATTCTAACCCATGATCCGTCTAGGATATTTTATATATACTGAGGATATTTTAAGTCACTGTGGTCGTTGCAAGCCGGATGCGGAATTCGTATAAATCTGCAATCGATGGGATTTGAACTCAGTTCACCTCATTGGAAGGTGAATGCTCAATCCCCTGAGCTCTATCCTCCCTGAAAAAAATTCAATCTAAAGATTTTTTTACTGATCATGCGGCAAATCTACTAAATCTACTTACCTATAGGGATTTTGAGTTAGCATGGAAGCACAGTTTTCTAATTCCTTTTTCAAAAAAGAGTAAGTATCTTTGTAGTAGAAAAAGAACGTTTTCCCAGAGAGCCTGTTCTTTTTCTGAGCTTCATCATTAGCTCTGTTGACACCAAATATTCTTATCAGGACGGAACTAAACAAAAGTGTGGAAGCATTGCGTACCTAAAAAATTATACAAAACAAGTACATCAAAATAAATCAAAACAAGTACATCAAAATGAATCAAAACAAGTACATCAAAATACAACTAAACAATTTTTTTTCTGTTAATGTTTCATATAGTTATTATATTGAAAAAAAAATTCTAAATTATAGTAATTACATCACTTTCAAAGGATAAAGGAAAAAATCCGTTTAAATAAAACGATGGTCACTCTCTAGACAAATTCCCTGAGATTTCCAGAGTAAAATTAGAAGTTTTCATAATTTTCCTTATTCAAATTAATATATCTTTATTCACATAATTGAAAGCAGGAAAAAAAATTAAAATTTTAATTTTCTCACTTTAAAATTGTACATTATTCTATTCCTAAAATTTGCTTAATTTCTAAACAAGCTATGTAAATAATTCTTTTTCTTTATTCTTTTGCTGATAGCATGCAAATTTCGATAATTTTAGAGGTGCCAATTATTACTGTTTTGCAGCAATTATAGCGATTTCAGGTTTTATAATCATATATTACAGTTATTGAGAATTTCCATAATGTTCTGCTTAAAATAAGTTTTTTCTCCTTTAATTTTCAAGAGTCAAGAAATTAGTTTGCATGTTGTCTACGAATTTTTTTAAATTTATTCATTGAACAATTCTAAAAACGAATAATAAAGAACAAAAACGTTTTAATGGAAACAAGAAATAAAAAAGGGAAAAAACTCTTATACATAACCTTTAGTTTAAGAGCATTTTGGTAAATTACGATTTCTCTTTATAAAATAAGGTAAATTTTAGACTGTATCATGTTATTTTAAATTACCTCGAATAACAAGTTTTGATGATGAATAACAGTTTTTCAAGATATAAGAAATTGCTTTTCAACTATAAACATTTGTTCAATTTTGAGAATATCAAAAAACATTTTATAATACAATGCTATTCAGATGTTTTTGCAGATAGTAACTAAAAATTACTTTTTTTTATCTAGATACTTATTTTATTCATAAATTATATATTTATTCAGATTATTATCTTTTTTTTTAATTAAATTTATAAATATAAGTTATGACGTATAATTTTTTTAAAAATAATATTTAAAATAGATATTTGTTTTTGAAACTTTTTGGGGGCCATTACATTTTCTATTTAGGTATTTTTAATAACTTTCAGATGCCTTTTTTGCATTTTTAAGGATTTTCTGATAATCAACATCCTAACCCTGCTAACAACAAAGTAAATATATTTGATACGATTTATAACTATTATTTTTGGAGAAAATAATAATAGCAGTGGTTATTAAAATTTGCTTTGAAAAAAAACAACTTTTTTTTCTTTCAATTACTAGGGTAAATACAAAAATTCTAATAAATATATCTGCAATTTTCTATTGAGTACTATGCATTAAATGCTGTTCTTAACAATATCAGCAGGGCTGCCGACTGTCTAAGCTTTTTGAAAACTTTTATTCTAGTGGTAGCTAAACTGATGTTTTAATGCATATTTTTTTATTCGTTTAAACTCAGCTCATTCGCTTAAAAGCTCATATGCATAGCCTCTTAGTTCCAGTTCTACCGTGGTGAGGCTTTAAAAATGTTTGCAAAATTACCAAATATTCTGAAAGCTTCAGTTTTTAAACGTCTACCACACTACAAAATAATTTTCAAAAAGCATAGTAGTTGGCAGGCCTGTATCTGAAAGCATATATTTGATTAAATGCTGATCTGGCATAAAATTGACTCATATTAATATGTTGAATGCCACGCTAATTTTACATGGCTTGCCCATCTGGCTAAAATGATTTTCTCAGTATGCACTGCATATTTTGATGAAATATTATTTACAACAAAACAGTTAAATTTTTGTAATCATTGGTGACTGACTAGGTGACTGATGCACGTTAAATCTGTCGAGTCTCAAAGTCCTCCATGTTCCCATAACAAATCAATACCTCTGGGGGTACCGATCCAGGAGTTTCCTTGTCTTCTGGATTGGTTCAAAATTACAAGGCTACGGCGTTGAACATTTGTAGTCGTAAACCCAAAAATTGGGTCGACTGTTCAACGGCGGTCATAAAATAAAAATCATTGGTGACTCATTTAATTCACTTAGGTCACTGGTGAACCCTGTGGCACTACGAACAAACTCAGTGCCGGTTCACCGGTGACATGCATGGCATTCAACATGTTAATACATGATTTAATGAAGCAACACATTTAAAAGTATGTTTATAAAAGAATTGCATAAAACATTATACTCTTATATTTAAAAATTTTTTAGTAAAATATAATTTAACAAAAATAGGTATTTTAATATTTTTATGTGGCAGCACATTATTATTTTTATACTTATATAATAAATACAATAAATTAAAAAAAAAAATTTTTTCCTAATCATTTTGTTTATCTACAATACTTACTCCCCATGATTTAGACTTAAAACCAGTTATGGCAATCTTTAAGGCTTCAGAAGCAAAGGGTACCAAAGCTTCACTCAAACAAGCATCCCGAAACAGGGCTCTCAAAATATTTAAAGCATGAATCTGTAAAGTAATTTCAAAAATATACTCATCATTAGTTATCTCATTACTGTAAGCCAAATCATATTTGATTAAATCAGATAAAAAAAATCAAATAATTAAAACACAAAAGAGAATGTACTCAAAAAATTATTACGTTTGTCCAAACATCTTACTCCTAAATTTATATGGATACTGCAACTATAAAAGCTGAACATCTTATAAAAAATATTGTAAGTAAAGATAACAATTTTAACATAATAAGTTAATTTGTGCATATAATTTAAAGGAAAACAAAACTGATGTACCTATAATGTATTTTATTTTAAAATTATTTTTCAGTATAAATAAAGTGAAATAAAAAATACTGGCAAAAAAAAAAACGTAAATGAATGAAAAGTTTCTAAAACAGAAAAGAACTCACACAGACTAAAACTTTAAATCTATTATGCAGAAGAAGAAAAAGTTATTTTCCTTCAAAAATATTTTTAAAAAAAAGGAAAAGAAAAATAGTAATTCTCATAATATAAAACTTTTAGAACAAAATTCACACTTTTAGAAAAGAAATAAGAATATAAATAGATTTAAAAACATAGAAAGACATTGGTCCATCATTCATGGCGTAAATTGGGTCAAGTAAGAAAATAAATTACAGACAACTCCTCGCTGCAGACAAATTAAAACAGCAAACTAACTCAAAAATCGATATTGGATTAAGCTTCATAAAAAATAAAAGTTTTCTAATTATGACTTTTTTCAAAAATGTTTTCATGCCAATTCATAAATTCTTATTTATAATTCATCAAATAGACAATAAATTTTTAAAAGAAAAATTTAGACAATGTAAATTTTATCATATCATTTAATAATGTTAGAAAAATCATGCTATCTTTTTCCAATTTCCATTAAATTTTAACTTTTTAAAATATTTTTAATTACTATTTAGAAATTTTAATTATTTAATTCTTTCACAGTATTATTTTTTATCACAAACAAAAATTTCTTCATTTTAGACACGAATTCAAAACAATTCAACACATTTCAAGCAGTAGATTGAATGGGTTTTTTTTTATGAATTTTAATGAAATTCGATAAATTTTGTATCACTTCATTTTTTGCTACTTTTTAATGTCTTAGAATTTAAAAAAAAATCAACATACTATATAGTTCAAGGGGAAAAAATTATGTAATATGAAGCAAGTTAAAAATTTTCTAAATATGAAAAAAGATAAAGAAATATAATAAATATCAATATGGATTTAAGTTTATGCCAGATTAATATTGAGCAAAAGGAAATGAAATAGAATAAAAAAGTTTATTTACCAATGAGCTCATTTATACTTTTGATGCATTTTTTATAAATATTCTATAAAAGCACAAAAAATGGAAAACTTACTTCTTCATTGGCTATTTTACTTTCACTCTTGATTAATGCTATATTTAAAAAGTTTGAGACGGTTTCCTTGAAGAAGGCAGAATGGGCTAAATTAGGTTCAGATGTAAGTACAGCCTGTAAAAAAAAAACATGTAGAAGTTATGTCAACACACCTAGATTGACATGTAAAACATGTCAATCTTAAAGGAAAAGAAAATTCTGAGAAAAACAAACAAAAAACTAAAATTATTTGCATTACTAGAATAAATATTCTTCGATTATTTATTTTCTTAGTTTCCTTTCAACCCAAGAAAAACCCTTTTTTGTTTAGGAGAAAGGAATGAATCTGGCCTCTGTCTCTATTCTCTCACAATGGGAAGATTTCAAATAAATGGACAGGAAGTGAAAGGGGTCAGTAAACAGGTGTTACCCAAAAACTGGGCAACAAGCAAACACCTTCAAAGCTAAAAATATTTTTCTTAAGCATTAAAATATTATTAATACATTTTAGTTACATTAATATATAAGATACAATATATAAGTTACAATATATAAAAGATAATATCATAACAACATCTAGAAAATTGAAAAGATACAGTAAACTTCGGGTTATTGGTAATGAATTTTAAAGACAATCAACAAAATGGCAAAAGAATGTCACCTTAGTATGTTTTAATCATGTAAACACTTCTTATTCATAAATGATTTTTTTAAATAATGTTTCACATCATTAAAAAAAATTGAATCATAAAAAAAAAATTAAAAAAAAAAATTAAAAATTAAAAAATAAAATAGGAAGAAAGAAGTTGGTATAGTTTGTCTAAAGTAAGAACTCCCTTAGCCATTCGTCTGGACCAGTGGCAGTGACTATGATAACGAGATATAAATATTTCAAGTAGGGGTGTGGTGTTATTGTTTAGAACAAGTTTTGGCTCAGGTCGGCGAGAGAATCTTTTTCTTCGGTCTAGTTTGTTAGCCCTAGAGTGAAAAGAAACTACCCTCCTAGAAATGCACTACTCTTGTTTCTAAAGCACAGACAGCCTCAGACTTTATGGTAGGGGTGTTCTTACCATAGACAAACTATATGCATTGCGACAGAGTACCGCATGGACAAAATATCATGGAACAGAATCTCATATGCAGAAAATATATCACAAAAGCCTATGGGCCTGGTGTATGTCCTGCTTAATATTAGAAATCTGAAAAAAAATTCTTCACTTGATATTTCACTCACTCACTCCTTGGCACTACAACGCACATATGCATAGAGGATATTTCAGTGAAATTTTAAAAAAAGAAAATTAATGAATCATCAATATAAATTTAGCTAAGAGACAAAAATAAAAACATTATTCATTTCTCTGATCTTTAACTGAAGGAAGAATATTTTTCCTTTCATTTTTTTTTACAAATGAGCAAGCTTGAAAACTAACGTAGTAATGTCTATTTCAGTATTGTCTCTCTCCCGAGATGCTGGTGCATAATCCCCAAGTGGATGAAATAACAGATGAAAGAATATAAAATAGTGTGCAACAAAATATTACACAAAAAATATCACTTGAAAACATATTGTGGACCAGAATATCATTCAGAAGAAATATTGTGGGATAAATTTTCTTAAAGATTAAGTAATGGCATTTTAAAAAAACATTTACAGGGTATCTGCTACATTTTAGATTTTCAAATTCATGACTTTTAATGACATATTCCAAGAATTTCTCATGACTTAACGAAGTTACTATTTTCTCCAACAATAACACAAGAATAAATTTAAAAAAGCATTATAATAGCATTAATTGAAATGATAGGTATAACCAAAACTGTTATACTATGCATCTTCATATTTATAGATTTTAAATTGAAAAAACAGAGTAAAGAAAGAGTTGAAACAATAAAATAGCTGAAAAAAATACAAAAGCAAATAATATATATATATATATATTTTTTTTTTTGCAGTATATTCTAAAGATACTTTTCTTGTTCATCAGAAAGGAAAGAAATACTCGTGATTTTTCTGTTCTCATTTCGGAATAAAAAGAATTCGCCAATGACTGGTTTGCTTCAACTAGAATTTTAAATTAATAAAATTAAAAAAAATATATATAATAAAAATTCTTAAATCACAGAAGAGAGAGTTTAAAAGATAATTTGCTCTAGAAATTATGTTTTTCTTTCATTTTTTGAAATAACACCATAATTTTTTAAGAAGATGATAAAATCATTTTATATTCTAATAAAATATGACTGAGTGGTGATTTTGTTGGAAATTCAGATGTTTGGAACAGGATGAAAGTGGACGGGGGGGGGGGGGGGNGGGAGGATTCCATTTTAAAAATTAGATTTTTCGGAGACCTAAATCCATGACTTTCCATGATTTTTTTTAAAAAAAATAGTAAAAATCAAGACATTTCATGACAAATTTTGTTCAATATTGAAATTCATGACTTTCCATGACCTTCCAGGTCTGCGGATACCTTGCATTTACTATAGCTAAAAAGATTGGAAGATTATTGAAATTAAAACAAGAAAAAATTCTTTGATTACCTGAATGATGAAAGGCAGACCAGCACTTCTTCTGGTGGGACATAATTGAATGGTTTCATTCTGACCTTTAATGGCTAAGAGTAAATCTTTCAACCAGATTTTGGGTAATTCCCTAAGACTTGTAACGTTACACCTGGAACACAAAATATTAATCATTTTTTTCTTTTGAAAGGCTGACAAAAAGATTTTTTAAAGAAAGGACAGACTTTAACAATTTTAAAGAATCATATCAAAACACAACACAAAACACTGAATATGAAATTTATATTCATATATAAATTTCATTTATATATGAAATTTATATGAAATTTATATATTAAATATATGAAATTTATATTTAAGGTGTCAAAAAACACTTCTTGAAGAAAAAACGTTATAATCAATCTTATTATAATTTTTTTAAATAAATAGAACTCTATGCTTTGGTAATAATTATTTTCTCTACATTATAAAGCTTCAATTAATTTCATTCAAATGGAATATTACTATAATAATTCAAAATATAGTAAAACTTATTTTAATGTATGTAAAAAAAAAAGTGGGTCAGACTGGGTAGCTAAGATTCAAAGGACAGTTGGTACTAACTTGTTCAACTTTGAAACCAGGTCTTACCCCACTCATGGGGTAAAACTGGGTATACATGTTAACTTTATGGAAAATTTAGAGATATTAGATTTCAGCGAAAACATTATTTTTTATCTCTTCAAACTGGACACCGATTTTTCTAAATTTGAAGGGGAAAAAATATTTATGCTTTAAATTTCAAGAAAAAAATGCAAAGTTAATGTTTCTCTTACCGCCAATAAAACTATTATTAAGCTATTTCACTACTTAAGAATGAGTCATTCTTCAGTCACCTTTCTTTATCTTTGCAAAGAAAGGAGAGAAAATGATACTGCATATGTGAAATATTTCAGACAGCGATAGCTTTTGATTCGAACAGTAGTGGTTATTATACCCTACAAGCTGAAGCATACCTGCCAACATTGGAGAAATAAAATAACGCAGATTTTACTAGCGACATTTTTAAGCTGAGTAAGTTTTGATACATCATGCATAATCATGTAAGTCAAAAAGAGAAATTCAGCATTGGAAATAATATAAGCACTTACATATAGCAAAGGAAAAAATATGTATAAAAAGCTTAACCTAAAGAAGATTTTTTTTTTACTCAAACTAATAACACTCAACATGCTGCTGTACTGGCAATAGTACCATCTGTTGAGGAGTAGGATAAGTATTTTTGCATCGGCAGATATGCTATTGCCAATTTGATTTTTTTAATTTCTTCAAAGAATACAGAGAAATTTGAGAATATACAGGTAAACAGGAGAAAGACGTAAAATACAGAAGTCTTTGTAAAAAAACAGGAGACTTGGTAGGTATGGAAATGATGCCTTAATCCTTCCCCACTGAAAATTCCTTTCTACTTCTAATCGATTTGGATACTGTATTTAAAACAGATGGGTAGAAAATGAGAAAAGTTATCTAGTTAGTGAAGAGTTCGTATAAATGAAACAGTTATTCAGACACTTGACTGATAATCAATTGTGGATATAACAAATCCACATCATGCCTTGCATTGCTGCTTTATTTTTTCAGTTCATCATGGCAGGTTTACCTTCAAGAAGATATTATCACGCTTCCTATCAAATGATTGGGATGTAAACGTACAAATTAAACTGCTTGAGCAAGTGACATCAGACTAAAAGCTCTTACTTGGCATAAAATGTCTGTGTAAATAAGAAAAACATATTCATTTCTCTGTAGCTACATCCAGAACTATGTCCAGAACTATGTACTAGATATCAAACTTTTTCATACATTCTTTTTGTATTAAAAAAAACTATTTTTTAAACTTTAAATGAATATTATTTTTTTATGAGTTATGTATGTAGATTATATACAGATTCTTATAGATATTAGTATATATAGGTTCTTTGTATTGAAAAAAGTATTTCTTAAAGTTTAAAAAAATATCATCGTGAACAGTTATATATTATTATAGATACTTTGAATACAGTCGGACTTCTATTTAACGAACTTCCATTTTGCAAATTTCTCTATTTTGAGAATTTTTTTTTGAGGAACCAAGTACATTTTGGAAATTTCTTCGTAAAATAATTTCCAAATAGCGAAGTGAATTTTCTATTTAACGAACTTTTCTTTGCGATCCACTTTCCATATTTTCCAAAATATTTCAGAACATTTTAAACTTGCTGACGCATTTTATGTGGAAATGACCTTAAATTAATTTTCAAAGTCACTGCTTTTTTGTAAAGTTTTACTGCTTTGTCTAAAGTTATGTAAGAAAAAGCAGTAAAATCAATTTCCCCTTTTGTTTGTATTTCAAACAAAAAATTCTGTCCAAGTTATTGGATTTTATCAGTAGCAATTAAACTTAAGAATGCATGTGATAATGTATGTTTAAAATTACTTTTGTAATAAATGCAGCTATAATTTTATACATAAATTTAGCTTCTTTTTTTTAGTTGAAAATGTATGTAGCATGATAGGGTTACACTGGATAATGTTTTGCTCTATTCTTGCTTTCTATTCAGATTTCTTTTATGGTTAAGACTTATAAAATAAATAGTAGATACTAGTTTACTAGATAAGGGTGTATCAATTGCTATTTTAATTATGTCTAATGCTTATGAATTTAAAATCTGTTTTGTGTTGTATAAGTAGTCTATTCTATGTGATTTTCTATTTAACGAATTTTCCCAAGAACGAACTTATTAACGGGATTTAGCGACTTTGTTAAATAGAGGTCCAACTGTATTTCTACATCATTGCAATTATTCTAAAAACAATGTAGGGCGTTAAACTTCGTTATTAATGCATTCTTCCGGTAAACGGACAACTCTCTTAAGCAGGTAATTTTTTCAGTCCCAACAGTATTAAACTGAGGTTTCTCTGTATGTATAGATATAATTTTTTGATCCTTATAAAATAATGAACATGTCTCTACTGAATGTTAAAAAGAAAAAATAAGGATGGATAAAAAAATTAAAGAATTATTTTGTTCTTTAAAGCAAATAATATGTCAACAACCAACTACTCATACCTCCATAGAGTGGAACATAGCTTGCCGAATCCAACATATGCTTGTTCAAATGCTCCCCTGTGCTTTACCAAAGTCATTTGGCGGATGAAGTAATTACCAATAGCGGCAACCTGAAATGTATTACAACTGATATGAAAACAATTTTTAAATAATGAAAGAAAATTGATTTCTGTAACCATCATGTTAGGAGTTATTTTTACAGTTAGAGAAAAAGTAAGCATGTAAAAGCATGCATGTAAGCATGTAAAAAATAGGGCTATAGTGCGACTTTCAAGAGAACTCCAGACTTATCTTGCGTTGCGGCAGGTACTATGGTTATGAGGAAAAGTCACTTCAAATAGGGGTGTGGGATGAATAGTTTTGTCTTAATCTTTGTAGAGATCGACGTGAGTAAGCCAATTGACATCTTCTTTCCTCCATTTCACCCCCATTGAAGATGTGCTCTCACTTGTTACTATAGTAGCAGACAGCCTCAGACTAAAAGTCTGAAGGAGCAAAGTTACACAGTAGATGCTTGGCTATGGGTAGGTGCTTGTTGTTGTCAAAAACTGAGTTAAACTGTTTCTATATTTAATCCATCTTTCAACAAAATTTTTAAAAAAATTGATAACTAGCGTTAGTTTAAAACAATTACCAAATGTTAATATTTACCAATAAACAAATTATGTTGAAAAAATTAAAATTGTTCAGAATTAGTACTCTGAATTAAAAAATTATCCAGAGTATTCCTTCTTCTGTGAGAAAAAACAACAACATAAAAACAATAAATTATATTACAAAAAATACTTTCATAACTTAATAATTGTTTGAACAATGAAATTATAATAGAAATTTATTTTCAATAATAAAGAAAAATATTTAAAAAATAGGGCAAAATGCTCCAATTCTTGCATGAATGACATTGATTTCAAGATAGGGTAAAAACATTTGTTAAATTAAAAAAGGGAAATATTAACTTTACTTAATAATAAATTCCATTAAAACATCAAGTAAAAGAATTAATTGTATTTCAATACTGCTTTTCCTTACTCACTGTTTATCCCCTCATTAAAACAGAAAATTTTTGCACACTACAATGAAGCTTTAATATTCCATAATGAAATGGAATATTAAAGCTTCATTATAGTGATCAAAAATTATCTTTTTAATGAGGAAAAAACAGTAAGGCAAAGCAGTATTAAAGTACAATTAATTCTTGTACTTGATATTTAATATTTCGAATGGACTGTGTAGGGGTCTGAGAACTGGTCTTGCATCAAAAAGGTTCTGGGTTTAAATCCTGAGCAAGGCAAAGATGTTCTTTCATTCTCTGTGCTATCTGTTCTTACTGTGGGAGCAGCATGGGCTCACCTAATAAGGTGAAACTGATAGAGTGGCCAACAAATCTACCCTGATTTAAATACCTGAATTTTCGAAAGTTAACACAGGTGGGCATTGGAAATAGAAGAAAAAAAATATTCCATATTGAAATTAATATTCCATAAGTTAAATCCTTTATAATATCACATTTAAGAGTAACCAGTCAGACAATATAAGTCAAAATCATTTCAAGATGACTTTAAGTGTTCATTTAAAATAGCAGATCACACAAATAGTTTTATTTTTCTTTATCTTAAATATTTTTATTGCGGTGAAACAGCAGTAGGCACAGGGTTGGGGACTCCTGAGTTAAATTTTTTCTAAATGAGAAACTAAACTATTCATTAAACAGTAACAGAATCTATAAAAATATCAAAAGAAATCACTTAAAATAAAATTGCTAAATAAATTAATAACATTGTACATTCCTCCAGACTAACTTTTGTTATGTTGATTGAATTTTCACGAAATGTGTCTATCATAATGGTTCACAGGAATACCTTACAAATGCTAATTAGTTTGTGTAAATAATATTTTGAGATACAAAATCAGATGCAAAAATATATTTCTCTGAAAATAACAAAACTTTATAACAGCATATTTAGATTTGAGAAAATATGGTCTTTAATAGTTTAAGAATTGTTGAAAGTTTAGGCTGTTAACTAACAGGATGTGTTTTGTAGGTGTGTTAATCTTAATGTTTTGTGTATTTCGTCATATCTTGAAGAGTTTTCAAGCTAATCAAAAAATGTTTGAATATATTTAAAAACTTCCTTTATTCAAAGATAATTCAAAGTAAAAAAATATTTTTTTATAAATATTTATTATTTTTTAAGATTTTATATAATAATGGTCAAGAGATTTTTGAACTGTAAGCTACAGAATTTATAACATTATTTAAATGACAAACTGCAAAACTTGAACAAAATCAGTCAAAGAGTATCTGAGTGATAAAATTCATAGTAAGTTCTCTTCTTAACTTTTATTTCTCAAGAAAGCCAATTTCATGATATTAAATTGTAAAAGTAATTACAATTTAAAATGTTTTAAATAGTTTACAATTAGAAACAAAGCTTTCTATAACACTTTTACATGTCATTTAAAAAAAATTACCATAAAACATTTAGATGTTTTAACATTTCCCCTCTAAAACAATTTCCCCTGAGTATAATCATAGAAAGCTGCCAATGATTTTGAGAAATTATCACAAAGTAAGGTTTTGTAGTGTATCTATACCACTACAAAAATATAATTCCAATTCTCTCGTATATAAGACATGTTAACTCGATTCTATGGAGGGGTACATTTTCATAGATGAAAGTTTACACTGTCGATATCTACTCTCCCTACATTGGTGACTCGGACACGATGCGAACACGCCTACCTTTACAGAAACTCCCACTTCGATTTGAACATGCCTACTTTGATGGATGGTCCACATCGAACAGTTGACTTGTTACTTATGACTGTGACATTATCCACCTCCTCGCGCCATTGCTACTCGGTCTTGAACACACATAATTTCATTCTACTGCTAAAGGCAACACAGGAGCGACGACCTTAAACTTAATACAGCTCTCACGATCAGCAATAAAAAAGTATGGTGATCTTAATACAGCACTCCCTGCTTCTGACAAAAACACCAATGAATCAACTAGTGGTATCCGTTCATCGAATTCTACCACAGATATAATTCTGGTGGGGGAGTATTGTAGTGTGTATATATCTACCACTACAAAAATATAATTCCAATTCTCTCGTATATAAGACATTCTATGTTGGGGTACTTTTTCATAGATGAAGGTTGACATTGTCGATAACTACTCACTTCCCACAGTGTATATCATATCTGCCAACTTTTACGCATTTGGCGCAAAATTTAATTTTTATATTTAAAGTGGCAGTAAATATATACCATTTTCTCTTTTATGAACTAAATTTTTAAATGATTTTCATCACCACTATTCTTAAGAAAACCAAGCATATATATTAATATGCGTTACTATTATGGTAGGCAGCTTAAGCTTTTTCAAATACAACGTATGTTTTTGCTTAAAATTGAAATTTTTATTCCATTTTAATACCACTGGGAAAAATCATAATGGAAGGGATTAAAAGTTGGCAGGTATGGTATATTATAGAGGAGTGGCCATAAAGAGTCATTAATTATCTCTGGAATATTTAAAAACAATGCAATAATTTCAATTCACACTCACTTCATTCTCACCAAGTATTCCGATTGTGCCATTTTCACTCTTAATGGGAACTTTTTCACACATTTCTCCAAAAAGCAGTGATATTTCTTTGTGAGTTCTCCAACAACAAAGCAATAGTATTTGAGCAGTCACAGCGTGCGTTTTGACTATATCGAGTTCGACGTCTGAAACCTCTTTTGAAAGACGACCACCTTGAACTATGGCGGTAGAAAACCTGCTACTGAGAGCCTTACGAACTGTAGATTGCAATTGGGTGATACTCTCTGGAATAAAACAATCAATTATTTGATGAATAAATAAATCAATAAAAAATTTATATGATTTATACAGTAAAAATCCCGTATAACCACAATTCATAACAGATGGAATTGTCATTACAAGAAACTCATTGTTTTAAACAAACTTATAATTTAAGCTTAAAACTGCAATAATATAGACTAAAAGAGGAAATAGACACATCTATCTCTTTTACAGGGTTGCCACTCAAATCTGGAGAAAAAATTCCCTGCATATTATACATATACCTGCCAACATTAGAGAAATAAAATAACGGAGATCTTAGGTACTAGCTACATTTTTTTAGGCAACGAGTAAAGTCTTGATACATCATGCATAATCATGTGAGTCAAAAAGAATTATTCAAAATTGGAAATAATATAAGCACCTCATTTATTGCGAAGTAAAGAATGTGTATATAATTCTTAATCTAAAGAAGATTTTTCAAACCATTATTTATAATTATTTAAACTATAAATACTCAACATACTGTAGTACTGCAATAGCAAAATCTGTTGAGGAATACAAGAAGTATTTTTGCCATCAACGAATATTTTATTGCCAAAATATTTTTTTTTTCTTCAAAATTTCAACAAATACACAGAAATTTGAGAATACACAGGAAAACAGGATAATCGTAGAATACAGGAGTCTTCGCTGAAAAACAGGAGATTTGGCACGCATGATACATGTACATATTATACACAATATATTAATAGGAAACACACAATCACTCTGCTCTTGTTTGAGCTGTATTAAGCTAACTATATCAGTTATAATTATTAAAAAAACTTAGAGAAACTTAAAATAAATAATGCTATAATAAATGGACTAGATTAATATAGCTGAAATATCATTCTTAAGTATCCCATAAATTGCACTTTGAGTGGTTACCTTTTTTTAAAAAACGAAAATAAGAAACAAAATTCCCTGTATTTTCAGTTTCTAAAGAAAAAAAATCAAAATTCTCTGTTATTTTATGTGATCTTTAAATTTTCTGAATTTTCCAAGTTTGCCCTGTGAGGTGGCAATCCTGTTATAGATCTGAAACAATAACAAGTCTGTATATTTGGCATTATTTGTGACCTTTTTTAAGGCTATTTACAGCTATATTTTAGATTTTCAAATTCATGACTTTTCATGACATATTCCAAGAATTTCTCATGACTTAACGAAGTTACTATTTTCTCCAACAATAACACAAGAATAAATTTATGGAAGCATTATAATAACATTAATTGAAATGATAAGTATAACCAAAACTGTTATACTTTACATCTTCATATTTATAGATTTTAAATTTAAAAAACAGAGTAAAGAAAGAGTTGAAGCAATAAAATAGCTGAAAAAAATACAAAAGTAAATATTTTTTTCTGCAGAATTACATTCTAAAGATACTTTTCCTGTTTATCGGAAAGGAAAAAAAATACTCCTGGTTTTTCTGTTTTCATTTCGGAATAAAAAAATTCGCCAATGACAGGCTTGCTTCAGCTAGAATTTTAAATTGATAGAAAAAAAATAATAATAACAAAAATTCTGAAATCACAGAAGTTTAAAAGATAATTGGCTCTAGAAATGATTGTTTTTCTCTCATTTTTTGAAAGAACACCAGAATTTTTAAAGAACATGATAAAAACATTTTACATTTTAATCAAAAATGACTGTGCATGGGGATTTAGCTACAAATTCAGATATTTGGAACACCATGAAATTGGGGGGAGGAGGTAAATTCCATTTTAAAAATTAGATTTTTCGGTGGCCTAAATCCATGAATTTTCATGATTTTTTTTTAAAAAAATAGTTCAAATCATGACATTTCATGACAAACTTTGTTCAATATTGAAATCCATGACTTTGCGTGATTTTTTATGACTTTCCAGTGCATATTTTTAATTTAAATCTTCTTTTAAGAATAACTTGTTCCTTAATTGCCTGCATTTACCTGTTACTTTAGGTGATTTTTAAATTCTCTGTATTTTCCAGATTTTCCCTATTCTCCTTGTGGAGTAGCAGTCCTGGATGATGAAAACTTAATTAAATAAATAAAAGTTTTCTTTTAAATAAAATATATTTGTTGAAATTACTCACCAGAATTAATATCCACGGGTAGATACCCCTCAGGAGATGAATCACAAACAACAGGCTCAACAACATCAGCAATTTGCACACCTAACTGCACAATTTCACAAAGAACAGAATTCCAGAGAATCGATGATTCAATGTTCAAAATTTGCCTGTGAATAAAGAAAGTGATCATAGACGTTAGAAAACAACAAAATTTTCTAACATTGCATCAATAAAAATTATAACAAGGTTATTTAACAAGGAATTAAATTCCATTAACTTATTTCAAGAAAAAAAAAATTTTTAGAAATAAATTCAGTCTCTTTCTGAAGTTTCAAATAGAAAATATAGTTCAAGATAAAAAATAAGCAAATATGAATACAGTAGAACGATTCTAAAGTAACCAGCCTTAGGCAAGCTGATATGGTTATTTTATAAAGTCTACTTAAAAACTGCTCTTTAACCATTTCTCCGATTATCCCAAGTTAACTAAGGTACATATATATTGCAAATATTTATCATCCCGAGAAAACTCGAGCAGAGTTTGTTAGAACATTTTGTTTATCAAGTTTTTACTCGATCGGAAGCAAAAATCATAATCTGCTGTGATTGGAATTTTGCCAAATTTTATTTCGCAATTTTGCAACTGTGAGACTGCACACGTGATTGTATATACGATGGCTGCTGAACTTACATAGCAAGAAAAAAATAATAATAAAAAAAGGTCTTCTTTTTCTTCTTCTTCTTCATAAGCGCAACAGCCTTTCACAGGCCAAGGCTGACTCGCAGATTAATTCACTGACGTCTAAAAAGTATCACTTTGTGTTGTCCCTGTTTTAAGAACTATCATACAAAGACTATTTAATTCTTTTCATTTGCCCGAGATAATCCTGGGTTGTAAACTGATGGCAAATTAAATGTTTCTTACACATAAAAAAGACAATTAAAATTTTAACTTAAAACTTGCGTATTACATTTTGTTTTAGCTCCTTGCATTTATTAATAACATAAAAAAAATATGCTGAATTTTCGCATTTTTTCTTCTTCAAAATAACAGGTAAGGTAAGTGTATATAGTAGTAGTGTAGATATAGGTAAAAAGATATTATGTGCATTGCTTAATACACCAACAAAAAGTGCAGTAAATTAATTAACAATTATAACAACTTAATTACTAATTTAAAATGTCACTAAATAAAGAAAATTACCTGTAGTTCACTTGAGATAGAATAGTTTTCAAACAGCTCAGTGCTCCATACATTGGTGCATGAGCTGCTGCATCCAGCAGATTCTCCTGAGCTATCCTAAATTGCTTCAAGAGCTCTCCTGACAGCAGAATCACAGTAGACAGTGAAGCAGAATCCTCTTTTTCAATAAGACTTAAATCTGTCTTGGGAAGAATGCAAAAGCCATCTTTCATCTGTTGAGACACATGACTTAGAACGACTGGTTTGAAGCCTTCACTGAATACTAATAAAGAGAACAAGTAACCAGCAGTCACTGTGTCAGGTGGTTTAGTACTGGAAGTCAAAATCAATGCAGCATTCAATGAACTGAGCAGAAATGTATCCTACATTTTTGGAAAAAAAGTGTTGTATTCAGTGAACTGAACAGAGATTATATTCTAAATTTTTTAAAAAGAAAAATTTTGCATTCAATAAATTGAACAGAAATGTATCCTACGTTTTTAAAAGAAAAATGTTGCATTCGATGAACTGAACAGAGATTATGTTCTAAATTTTCAAAAGTAAAATGTTGCACTGAATGAGCTAAGAAAAAATTATATCGGAAATTTTAAACAGAAAAATGTTACAATCAATGAAAGGAGAAGAAATTATATCTTAAATTTTTGAAAGATAAATGTTGCATTCGATTAACTGAGAAGAAATTACCCAGTGGCAGAATTTTTTCGGGTTTTCTGCAATAAACTTCCCAAGCACTAATGTTTTGCTTTAAGATACTTTTAATTATAACAATTACTAATCTAAAGTGACATAAACGTTGTGTTTACAAAAGAAAGTGTATAACAAAAGTGTATAAAAATTTTAAATTGTAAAAGTAATACTTTTTAAATTCTAATATTATAGGCAATATTCTTGCATTTTGTAGGCAGAAAAATGAAATTTTGAATTTTGTAAATCATTACAGAAATTAAAATTTGTAAATAAATTAAACTATAATAAATTAAAAATCGTAAAATTTGTGCAGAACTCCCGAAATAAAGACCAGGAATCACTCAAATAAGTGTATGTAAAATATGGTGTTCTTTAAAGGAAAGAAAATGAAAGAAAGAACACCATTTCTGGACCGAACTATCTTTCAAATTTTCTGGATTTCTGAATTTTTTTATATTATTAATTTGAAATTCTAGCTGAAGCCAGTTATTACCAATTTTTTTAAAAAAAATCTCAAATGAGAATAGAAAAATCATGATTATTTCTTCCCTCTCTGGTACCCAAGAAAGAAATCTTTGAAAAAAAATTCTGCCGAAAAAAAAACTTTTTTCGAAAAATTATGCAGAAAAGGAAAACCAAAATTTTTCCCTTCCCAAATGAAAAATTATTCAGCAAAAACTCTGTAACATTCTGTGACAATGTCACCGTATTCCCGCAATGGATGGGTGGTCTAATGTAAACAATAATAAGCGTCCTTAAACCGGAAGAAATTTAGAAAATTTCCCATCCAATTTTTTTGTAAATTTGTANAGTAAGATCAATCATTTGACCTCCCAAGCCCCCCCCCCCCTCTTCTGGTTGCACGCCTGTCTTAAGGACCCGTTTATTACGAGCACTCGGATTTAACGAGTACATGTTACGGTCCCTTTGTGCTCGTTATAAACGAGTTCGACTGTATTACCAATTTTTTAAAAAAAAATCTCAAATGAGAATAGAAAAATCATGATTATTTCTTTCCTCTCTGATGCCCAAGAAAGAAATCTTTGAAAAAAAATTCTGCCGGAAAAAAAAACTTTTTTCGAAAAATTTTGCAGAAAAGGAAAACCCAAATTTTTCCCTTCCCAAATGAAAAATTATTCAGCAAAAACTCTGTAACATTCTGTGACAATGTCGCAGTATTCCCGCAATTCTGTTACAAGGAAAAATTATATCCTAAAGTTTCAATAAACTGAATAGCAATATTTAAAATTTTCCAAACATTTTTTATATAATTTCATTTTGAACTGTATTTCGGAAGTCAAGAAGATAAGTTCTACCTCAGGTAATTGAAAATATCATAAAATTTATTTGCAAAAGCAAAATAATTTTACTCCAGAATTAGTTTGAAGAAATATAAAAATATAACAGGGTAAAGCAGTTACAAACAATTTTAGAATTAATCTTTATGAACAAGGTAACTCTACAAAACAAGTTTACTAAAATAATTACAGAAAACATGGAAATAAAATTAATTTTACAATTATTTATAATTTTCTTATTTTAAAATACCTATTAATAGGGCAAAAGAACTTGCGCATAACAGGGAAAATTTTATTGGCCTTTATTTATTTTTATTTTTCATTCAGATCATTTGCAACCTGTCCACATAGTTTTAAAAAAAATTTCTCACATAATTTATTTTTTACTCACATAATCTCACATACCTATCTATGAGTAAAATACAAACTTAAAAAATAAGAAAAAGCAATAAGGTACTTTGAGTAAAATATTTCAGAATTATACAATGTAGAAACAAGATAATTCAATATGGATATTAAAATTAAAAGGAAAATCTATTTAATTTAAAAACACACTTGTAAAAACTGGTATTTTTAAGCATTACAATAAAGACAGGCACCTGTAATCATACTTACATCATGCATTAAGTTTAGAAATTCTGAAGAAGATAAAACTTTCAATGCTAGTTGCTTATTGTTTTCATAGGTGTCTTGCAAAACAAAGAGTAAAGTTGAGAAAACTAGGAGAAAATTTTAAAAAATCATTCATATTACATAAAAATTTTCCTTTCCAAATAAGAAAAATGATTATCATATAATTTTTAAAAAAAGTAAACATTTTATACTTCATAGGTTGTTTTAGCAAGTACACCTGACACATTAAAAACTTATTAAAAACACATATCAACCACATGATAATAATATATAAAATGTTTTAAATAACAAGATTTTTCAAAAAAAATTTTAAGAAATTTTATTGTCATATTTTAGATTGCATTGGGAGTAATTACGTATATGATTTTCCAGGGCCTTGTTATCAATTAAAAAAAATTTATACCAGAAATTATGTAAACTTCATTTGCTTCACAAACTATGAAGATGATAAAAGTCAACCAATATGTTTCCAGTTCACAAAAATAAGCACCGCACCCATTCCTAAGACTTGTCAGACATGAATAAGGAAAATAAAAGAGATTAAGACAAAAAAATTTTAAGTTGCAAAGAAAAAACAAATAAAGATGAAAAATAAAAATTGGAAAACCATAGAAGCAGAGGCTGAAACAGAAAATGAAAAGTAACCAACAAAAACATTAAAATTAAATAAATTACAGAGCAAAACTAGAAAAACCCAAACAGCTAAGAAAGGCAAATCAGAGCAAAATGCATTCCATGTTCTACGGATAGGAGGTAAAGAACTTATTTCTTTAACAAGGAAATTGATGGTGGGAAAAACTTCAGCCAATTTAACTTTGATAATGCCAAAATTTCATCAACTTCAAACATCAAGTTCATATGAGTAAAATTTTTGTTCTTAATTTATTTTTTACAAATTTTTCTCTTTCAACCTTTAACTTTTTAAATTATTTTCTGTTAATGAAATACGAGAAAGGCTATAAAAAATTTTATATTATTGATTTTGTAAAGTGTTAAACGCTTTAAATTAAAATTAATCTAAGATGTAAAATATGAACACTGAGAGTTATGGCGAAAAATTTAATTCTCCATTGAAATAACATATAATAATTTTGACCGAGTGTACATTTGTACCAGACATATTTCTTAGTCTAAAATGCTCGGTCATGGGGATGTTGCCTACACTAATGAATTTCCACAAGACTTGCACCAATTATATTTGAAGAACTGGGTGAATTTGAATCTTGTTTTGTCACTAAACTAACATCAAAAGTAGTTTCTCAAAACCACAACAAACTGTCGTGTTTTACATCACACTACACTACTGACTACACTACTCTTTTTTAAAAAATTAGTGAACTACATTACAAACTAAGAAAAAAGCAACGACTACAGTAGTTTCATTACATGCAGTGTTCAGACCACTGATAAACACTAGTGGAACACATTATGGACCCCACTTAACTATTCATGCTAATAGAGACGGTGATGAAGAAATTTGAAGCCTTTGCAAACAGAAAATTAAAATCTAAAATTATGCGAAGTTTTAAGAAAAAACATTCTTAGGCTTGTATTTACTGAAATATCTGTGAAAAACAAATGCCTCAAATAATAAATAAACTGGCTCTTTTCATCCAGTAGTAGCATGAAACTTTTTTCAAATCAGACCATAAGATGAAAGTCTCTATAAATAAATGAACAATTGATATGTGCTGCTTTTGATGATATTTAAAAGAAAAGAACGATTGAAAGTAATTTATGTGAACAACAAAAAATATTTGTAATCATATGATTACATCTTTAGACCTGCTCCTGGAGGACAATGACCACAAATGGTTTAAAATGTTCTAAAACATAGCTGCCAACATTAATAGGAAAAAATCCAGTAGATTGTACAATATAAGTTTCATGATAATTGTTACAATATGTACTAAATATTTTACATGAGGAAAAGGACTAAATGAAAAACTTTTTTATTCACTTCCAGTATCCATACAAAAAGTGAAAAATGGTAATCATCATTGATAATCATCATTTCATCCTGTTTCCTTCTTACAATTTTGAAGTTTTATGTTTATAAAGAACACATGTCTGTGTGACCATCCACTTAGATTTCTTTCCTTTAAAAAATATTCTGCTATTTTAGAAATCCTGTGTTTACACTTATTGTAGATCATGCTCTTCTATTGAAATCAACATTTAGTATTATAATACCAAAAGCTATTGCAAACTACTACAAAATGAGTTTTTTGTCACTATTTTACCACTATAAGTGTAAGTGGTTAAAAGGACAAATTCACTTTAATAACAATTTCATTTGTTATTGTAAATAGTTTTTTTAAAGGACTTTTAATGAGTGTAAAACGCTTTGATAACATGACCACTTTTATGAAGAATTAATTCCAAAAAATAAATTACACTTAAGTTTCTTTATGACCAGGACTACGATGGTGATTATAAAAATAAAATTTTCATTTCTGAGACATTTTATTTTCTTCAATCATAATTTTGCAAAGTTTGGATTATGATTTTCATTTTAAAAGCCTTTTGCTTGTGAGTTAATTTTTTTCTTTATAAATTTGAATAAATTTTGTCTTCGTCTTTGTAATTTTAAACATCCTTTAATAACAAGTGTTGATGTTGATCAAAGATTTCCAAAATGTAAGCATTTGCTTATGGATAATAAACAACCCTTCAATTTTAAGAATACTAAAAAACATTTGATAACACAATGCAATTTTAAAGTTCTTGAAAACTGAAAATGAATTTTATCTATCTCTATAGAATTGAATAAATGGTCACAGGATTGTATTTTATATTTTATGTTATTCATAAGTTACATAATTATTTTAATAATAATCTCATCTTTTATTAAACACACAAATATAAATCATGATTTATCTTTTTTTTTCTTCAAAAAAGTATAAATAAATAATAATAATTATAAATCTCTTTTTTTTTAAATTTTTTAGGGTATTAATTCAAAAATTTTAAGTTATCAACAGCTTAGCCTTGATTATAGCATTCAAAAGGTATATTACAAAGAAAGGGGGAAAAAATATTACCAATAGTTTTTTTGCCAAGTGGAGATTCCATGAAAAAGGAATGTATAAGAAATAAAATGTTCAAGGAGGATACTCGGCGTGGAAAATTGGCACCAGGGTGTAATGATTTATATAAGAAATTCATCATCCAATCAATAAATTCCTGAAATGAAATTAAAAATTATGTTTTGACACCTTGAGGAAAATAAATTTTTGTTACTCTTGAGTAGAATTTCAACAATTAAAAACAAATCAACAAAAACCGCAAGTCAAATTGCTTTTTTTTTCTTAAATCTTTAATGGGAAGGGTAAAATAAACTATAATAGCAAGATGTTTACAGCTTTCACAATAAACAAAGCACTTATTTCATTCCTCCTTTTCATCTTTTCTTTCTGAGATTTTCAACTTTAAAATCAGTCTGTTCCTTGCATATGAGTATTGAATTGACATCATTTAATCATAGAAGTTACATAGTTGGTATATTAATGTATACAATATTTGACATAGTAATATAGGAATTTTTATTCATGTCACAAACACTAAAAAAAAAAAAAATTCATGGCTTTCCGCTGATTTTTTTCTCTAAATTGTTATTTATTTATTTATTTAAATTTATCTCATTTTTGTAACTCAAGGTTAAAAGATCATTATTCTCTTTTTAGTTTACATAAAACATATTACAATATACTTTTACTTGCAATTGATGTTGAAAATAAACAATTTATTTTAAATAAGGATAAACTACAGAAACTTATTACATGAAAAAAATTATATATTTTTAACATCAAGAGACTTGTTTCCTTGATGTTGAAAACATATAATTTTAACTTTGATAGTGCAATACTTTTTATAAAATGTTAAATAAAAACACTTTTTAAGTTGATAAAATTTTTTAATAACAGTTTTTAAATAAGTTAATAAGATAGTTTTTTAAATAATAAGAAAATAAAAATAAATGCAGAAATAGGGCAAAACATTTTAGTAGACAGTTATTTATTGATATAAATTAAAACAAAATACAGCATCAAGAACTATTCTTCACAATTTCCAGCAAAAAAATATTTATTTTTTTTTTGGGGGGGGGATGTTGAACGTTTGGGTAACTCAAACTCATTGTTTCTCTGTTATTTCTTTTTTTTTTTATTTTAATTGAATTTCCCAATATTTCCCCAATTTTTCCCTGTCCTAAGGCTATTTTGCTACTCTTATTTATTACACTATTTATTGACATTTAACAAAAACACTAAAATTTAAACTAAGAATTACAGAAAGACATGGGAAAAAAATATAATTGTTGAAATAAAATCATACCTTATATGCTTCCAAAATTAATAGACATTTAGAAGTTTCATTGTCCTTATCGGCAATATTTCTCTCCATCGAGTGTCTACTCTCCTTCATTCTATAGAAAAGCTTAGAAAAAAATATGCTTCAGAAAATGTGCATCAAAAAGAAAAAGGATTATAAATTATGTCAAAATTAAATGTATTTGTATAACTTGCTTTTAATTGTTGTCGATAATGTTACTCAAGTTATAATGACAAATGACAAGTTATAATGTCAATCAACAAATTCAAAAGTAGTGATTCATTGATGCTACCTATCCAAATTCAGGACTTTGTCTACATTAGAGGTTTTCAGTTATACTTATTTCAATAATTATGCAGAGCAGTTGCATTGTTCCCGTCATAAAAAGTCACAAAGCAAGCAAGTCCGAGAACAAATCATAAGCATTAATTAGCATATACTTTTTTTTATTTTCTAGTACTTTTCAATAGTTAATTCTAAACATTAAATTGTTAAAATTGGCGCAGTGTAAATTAGATAGTAGGATAAATTTTGCTGGGTGTTTGACACTATTACTTCCCTCTAGTTGAAAAAAGACCCATTACTACACTCATCGCTGGTATCCTAAGTTAAGTTGGTTTGTTGAAATATGGAATCAGGGGTCTGTCCAGACATTTTGTGAAAGGTCCTGTTTTTGTAAAATTGTGAAAAAACTATTCATAATTTGTGAAGATGAAATAAACGTTAAGTCACTTTCTTTCAACCAGGGTCCTGCTTTTGTGAATTTGTGCAAATAGGGTACTGTTATTGCAAAAATTGCTAAAAACCTTTTCAAGGAGATTTTAAATTGTAAATAAATACAAGATTATGCTCAACAATTGCTGCTACTAAATTAGAGATGCAACATACAAATATTAGGCATTTAGCCTATACTGCTCAATGCAGAATATTCATTTCAAACAAGTAATGGAAACAAAATTACTCACATTTTTAATATTTTTAATTGACGTATTTTAAATAACACAACTTAGTTATGTATCACTTTTAATGTGTTACGCATTAAGTAAACTTAAACAATTCCTACATTTATAACATTTTATTTAAAAAATTGCCTGAAATTAGTTTTCATCTACATAATATTCTATTAATTAATTTTATGAATAAATATAAATTGATCAATTATTTATTTACAAAAAAAAATATCATTTATTTAGAATGTGCACACAATGTTTGTAACAGTAGAAATATTTTCCTATGATACTACATTTGGAATTTAAACTTAGGGAAACTTAGTTCGTTTCGAACCATCTTTCCTTGCTTTTACAGGAAGGGTTTATTCGATTAACAAAACAATAAGGAAGATAAGCAAATTTGTGAAGCGCCGATGAAAAGAAATTATTTTGTGAAGTGTCCCTTTTATGGAAAGACATTTTGTGACGTCAACGAACCCAAATTTCTTCTAAACAGATCCCTGAGAATGATGGAGATTCTTGATGGATGATGGCTTAGTTTTCTTTTCACCAAAGCTGAGGGATTCCAAGGTAATAATTGATATTCGCTAAGGTGCACGCAGGCATCTTTTTTGGATACATTATGCTCTTGTGCTGAATAGTGCTGGTGAACTAAGAACTCAGTGAAAACTTGAAGTATGGAATTTCAGTAGAACCTCGATTAACCAAGGAATCAGTTAACCAAGCCGATAACGAAGTCTATTTTTTTTCTTCTAAATGAGCCCTGAAAAGGTAGGTACTATATTTATGTCGCACTAGAGCTGCACACTGGGCTATTGGCAATGGTCTGGGAAACATCCCTGAGCCTTGTGGCAGAATTTTTTCGAGCTATTTACAAAAAAACTATATAATCTTTTATTTTTTTTAATTGAACATGCAATAATTTTTTATTCTAATATTATGGGTGATATTCTCGCATTTTTTGGAGCGAGGAAAGCACAAATTATTTCCTTCTTTGAATGTTGTAAATAATTATCACAGTAAAAAAAAATTAAAAATCATAAAATCTTTGTAGTGAATTGCCGAAAAAAGATGGACAACAAAATCATACCGCATTATTTGGACTTAATGAAAATATGTTTGCAATTTTAAAAGTCTTATAATTTATTTTACCCTGAAATGTGATAATTAAAAAAAATTAGAGCTAATGATTAGGCTGGTCCAAATCACAGAATTTAGCATAAATAAAAGAACATGTCAAAAATGTGGGATTTTATTTTTCTCCTCTCTGTCACAAGTAGTTTTAATTAACTTTCAATTTAATTATAAGCTCTTTTATTATTTTATGCCAATTAATTACACAGAGCATGCTAAAGTAGCATATTCTTGCAGAATTTTTTGTTTTCAGAAATATTTAATAAATATTTTAGAATAAAATACTTGTGTGATTTCCCCACTGTTATGCTTGGAATTCAACCTTAATTAATTTTGATTTTAGAAATGTTCTTAAGCCACAAAGGCATCAATTAGCTGCTATAATCTCTTTATTTCTGTGCTTATAAAGTGATTAAAGTTTTCATACAAAGCATTTAAATGCTTATAAATGTTGAATGACAAGGCTGCATTATACAGGTGAAGTTTTCATATTTATCTCCTTTAGTTTAATGAAATCAGTTTATTCAGTTGAAATTTCTTTCACTCCAGTCCATCGATAGCTTTATCTCCTATAGTTTTATCTATTTTAGTTTCACAAATTCAGTTTATTCAGTTAAAATTGCTCACACTCCATCTATAGTTTTACTTTTACAAATGATTAATTGATTAATTATTTCTTTGCGCATAAAACAACAAATTACCATTATACTTCTCAAACTCTCTAAGATTAAGCATTTAAGGAAATTTGAACAGAATATTTTCTCCCCAATACACAACAGCAATATCAATAGAAATCAGTAAATCATTAATAAATTATTAAAAGATATTAGGATATTAGGAAAGAATTATAAATTATTCAGAAAAGATATTAGGATAAACAGTGAGAAATTCCAAGTTAAACTCTCAAAAAATATCAATTTTCATAATTATTCTTCTTTTTAAAAAATATAATAAAGAAAAATACCTTTTTCAAGGAAGCAACCATCTGTTGTCTGAAAGAGGGTGATTGACAGTTAATGTTGTAGGGAAGGCTATATTTAATCAATTCAAGATCTTCCGGCAAAACAGCTTCTGTTGTTTTTACATTCTCACACAGTAAACCAAATGCCGAAAGTCTAACCTAAAAACAAATTCACTATACTAAAGTGAAATATAAAAATAACTTCGACAGTACATGTTTCTTAGTCAAAATTGACACGAAAATGAAAGCTGTTATATAAATCAGCAACTAATACTTTCATAACATATAATCACAAGTATAATGAACAATTTAGAAGATAACACAGAAAATAAGAGTGTAAGAAATTTCTTAATTTAAATTTCAGGCTTTAACAATCGTAGGATATACCTCTTATTGTTCTTTAACAATAATTAAACTTGAAAATGATATTAATCTCAACAATTAGTTTTACGAACATAAGTAAACATATTTTTAATAAATGGAAAAAGTAAATAAAAATTTTTTAAAAAAAGCTATTATTTGCTTATCTTTATAAANAATTTGTGAATATAAAATAAGCTTTAAGTCACATTCTTTTAACCAGGGTCCTGCTTTTGCGAATTTGTGCAAATAGTGTCCTGTTATTGCAAAAATTGCTAAAAACCTTTTCAAGAAGTTTTTAAATTGAAAATAGATACACGATTATGCTCAACAATTGCTGCTACTAAATTAGAGATGCAACATACAAATATTTGGTATTTAGCCTATACTGCTCAATGCAGAATATTCACTTCGGATGAATAATGGAAACAAAAGCACTAACATTTTTCATAGTTTCAATTGACATATTTTAAGTAACACAACTTAGTTATGTATCACTTTTAATGTGTTACGCATTAAGTAAACTTAAACAATTCCTAAATTTATTAAATTTTATTTAAAAAATTGCCATAAATTAGTTTTCATTTACATAATATTCTATTAATTAATTTTATGAATAAATATAAATTGATCAATTATTTATTTACAAAAAAAAAATATCATTTAATTAGAATGTGCACACAATGTTTGTAACAGTAGAAATATTATACTACATTTGGAATTTAAACTTAGGGAAACTTAGTTCGTTTCGAACCGTCTTTCCATGTTTTTACGGGAAGAGTTTATTAAATTAACAAAATAATAATGAAGATAAACAAAATTGTGAAGCGTCCGATTAAAAGAAATTATTTTGTGAAGGGTCCATTTTTATGGAAAGATATTTTGTGACATTAACGGACCCAAATTTCTTGTAAACAGATCCCTGGGAATAATGGAGATTCTTGATGGAGGATGATGGCTTAGTTTTCTTTTCACCAAAGCTGAAGGATTCCAAGTAATCATTGATATTCACTAAGATGCACGCAGGCATCTTCTTTGGATGCATTATGCTCTTGTGCTGAATAGCGCTGGTAAACTAAGAACTCTGTGAAAACTTGAAGTATGGAATTTCAGTAGAACCTCGATTAACCGAGTCTCGATTAACCGAGTCTCGATTAACCAAGCCGATAATGAAGTTTATTTTTTTCTTTCTAAATGAGCCCTGGAAAGGTAGGTACTATAATTATGTTGTACTAGAGCTGCACACTGGGCTATTGGCAATGGTCTGGGAAACAACCCTGAGCCTTGTGGCAGAATTTTTTCGAGCTATTTGCAACAAATATCTAATTTGCACTAATATCTTTCTGCAAGATACTTTTATTAATAAAAAACTAATATCTACAAAAAAAAACTATATAATTTTTTATTTCTCTTAATTGAGCGTGTAATAATTTTGTATTCTAATATTATGGGTGATATTCTCTCATTTTTTGGAGCGAGGAAAGCACAAATTATTTCCTTCTTTGAATGTTGTAAATAATTATCACAATAAAAAAATAATTAAAATTCATAAAATCTGTGTAGTAATAATTGCCGAAAAAAGATGGACAACAAAATGACGCCGCATTATTTGAACTTAATGAAAATGTGTTTGCAATTTTAAAAGTCTTATAATTTATTTTACCTTGAAATGTGATAATTAAAAAAAATTAGAGCTAATGATTAGGATGGTCCAAATCACAGAATTTAGCATAAATAACAGAACATGTCAAAAATGTGGGATTTTATTTTTCACCTCTGATACAAGTACTTTAAACTAACTTTCAATTTAATTAACAAATTAATTTTATTGAATTAAATTTAATTTAATTCAAATAACAACTAACTTTCAATTAAGCTCTTTTATTTTATGCCAATTAATTACACAGTGCATGCTAAAGTAGCATATTCTTGCAGAATCCTTTGTTTTCAGAAATATTTAATATATTTTTAGAATAAAATAATTGTGTGATTTCCCCTCTGTTATGCTTGGAATTCAACCTTAATTAATTTTGATTTTAGAAATGTTCTTAAACCACAAAGGCATCAATTAGCTGCTATAATCTCTTTATTTCTGTGCTTATAAAGTGATTAAAATTTTCATTCAAAGCATTTAAATGCTTAAAAATCTTGATATGACATGGCTGCATTATACAGGTGAAGTTTTCATATTTATCTCCTTTAGTTTCAAGAACTCAGTCTATTCAGTTGAAATTGCTTTCACTCCATCTATAGTTTTACTTTTACAAATGATTAATTGATTAATTATTTTCTTGTGCATAAGACAACAAATTACCATTATACTTCTCAAAGTCTCTAAGATTAAGCATTTAAGGAAATTTAAACAGAATTTTTTCTTCCCAATACACAACAACATCAATAGAAATCAGTAAATCATTAATAAATTATTATAAGATATTAGGATATTAGGAAAGAATTATAAATTATTAAAAGATATTACGATATACAGTGAGAAATTCCAAGTTAAACTCTCAAAAAATATCAATTTTCATAATTATTATTCTTTTTAAAAAATATAATAAAGAAAAATACCTTTTTCAAGGAAGCAACCATCTGTTGTCTGAAAGAGGGTGATTGACAGTTAATGTTGTAGGGAAGGCTATATTTAATCAATTCAAGATCTTCCGGCAAAACAGCTTCTGTTGTTTTTACATTCTCACACAGTAAACCAAATGCCGAAAGTCTAACCTAAAAACAAATTCACTATACTAAAGTGAAATATAAAAATAACTTCGACAGTACATGTTTCTTAGTCAAAATTGACACGAAAATGAAAGCTGTTATATAAATCAGCAACTAATACTTTCATAACATATAATCACAAGTATAATGAACAATTTAGAAGATAACACAGAAAATAAGAGTGTAAGAAATTTCTTAATTTAAATTTCAGGCTTTAACAATCGTAGGATATACCTCTTATTGTTCTTTAACAATAATTAAACTTGAAAATGATATTAATCTCAACAATTAGTTTTACGAACATAAGTAAACATATTTTTAATAAATGGAAAAAGTAAATAAAAATTTTTTAAAAAAAGCTATTATTTGCTTATCTTTATAAATTTAGAATTGCATTGTTGGTGTTATTATATGTTTTTCTTTCTTTTGTCCATGGTATTAACAGCGCTAAACTGCTAATAATTAATAAAAAATAGAAACAATGTTTTATTGATTTTTTACAAATTAATAAATAGTTTTTAAAAAAATTATTGAGAATATCAAATATGTTTTTCTTTATTATTGATCATCTGTGCTTTAATAATTTTTATTTTCAATTGAAATGAAATAGAAACGATGTTTTGGAATAATTATTAAGTTTGGTTAATTAAATAGAAAAGTATTAAGTTTGGGAAGAACAAAAAAGGATAACAATTTAAATAAGATAATTGTGCAATAAACAAAAATGATTATGTCAGATAAAAATATATATATATTGATTAAAAATTCAAATCATTAGTTACGAAATCTGGTACAATACTAAAGGCAGATTTCAACAACAAATGACTTATAGCTAATAAAATGGTGATAAAATAAATAAAATTTGTAAATGCATTTACTAATAGTTTAATTGGATAGTGACACATTACCTGATCATCACTGTGACAAAAAGCTTTCTGCAAACTTTTTTCTGATATGTATTCAAGCACTGATCTGTGTTTTTTTTCCTTTTGGTGTAACTTTATGCATGTTATTAATGCACTGAAACACTGACCTAAATAAAAACATTTTCTCATCATTGATAGAAGGATATCAGAGGTACTGTCTGGCAATAACAAGATGAGGCCCTGACCTAGGCATGACAATGGCATAGTCAGGTTTTCGATTCAAGGTCTTAGGAATTTTTGTATTTTCACTATGTACCTACATCTATATATAGGGTGTGACAATTAAAAAATCTAGACTAGTCTAGAAAATTAACTTTATTGAAAACATTATACAAATACCTTCAAGTCCCCTTTAACTTACTCCCTTTCCCTATCAATACATTGTGCATACAAGTTTTTCACTGTCCAAAACAGTGCTACAGGTGATTAAGTGTCACCTTTTTCAGAAAGTCTATTGTTTTTGCCGTAATCTCCTCAACAGACTTGAAATATGTTTTGTTCAATGCACTTTTCATTTTTCAAAACAAGGTACAAATCGCATGGAGCGAGATCTGTTGAGTATGGTGGATAATCACGCACAGTAATTTGTTTAGCCATGGATTTGTCTCAATTGGATTTGCTCATAGTCAAAATAGAAATTTAGTTAACAAAAATTTTTTTTAATTATAACATAAGATTAACGTAACGATTTTATATAATATTTAATAGTTTTTATTGCTTCGTCAATTTTTTTTATTTTTTTTTATAAATAAACATTACAACAATTTCTTTAAATTCTATTTATTTGATTAAAAATAGTATTAAATAAATGTTATTAGAAACATTAGAATTCCATATAATTAGTTCATTTATATTAAAATTAAAATAATTTCTTTTATCATATAAATCAGATAATAACAATTCAGATATTTTCTTCTTGTTTAATACTTAAATCCAAACGATTAAAAGTAACGTTATCATCATGATTACAAAGCAAGATTAATTCTTCAGGGTAAATATTATTTAACAAAATTCTATACTTTTGAAAATTAATCTAAAAATGAATTTAAAATTAAGAATTAAATTTTTTTTATAATAGTGAAAAAATAAGCTAAGGGTGATCTTTGTGGTATTCCATCAATTTGAACAAAAATAAGTTTTCCATTGAAAAGTTTATTATTAAAAAGATAAAAATAAATCAGAATTTCTCAACAATCAAAATCGTAACTAAGGGTATTCTTATAATCATAGTAATAGGTTAAAAGAACATCTTTTAGTTTAGGAAAGAGAATGCTATTGAAAAGATGCTGGAAATCAAAAGTCCCGATAGAACTAATTTCATTTTGTTTAATAAATTCTGAAATAGATTATTGATCTGAAATAGATTAGATTACTGATTTTTTTTAAAACTTTTTTTTAAAATATGTAAATATTTTTTAAAAACATTTTTTTAATAATTTTGTCTTCTATGAGAAATCTTTATGCCTTTTTCCATGTTTTCTCTATATTTTTAATCTTGCTATTATGGATTTTTCTTAAACACAATACCCAAGTTACAGGACTAAACACATTTACCAAAATTGTCGATGTAATAAGATAACAATAAAACTTTCAAAATTAGACAGAAAAAACTTTTTATGAATTTTTAGAACTTTTTGTGAATAAACATTACTTTGTTCTTGCCGAATTCTAATCGGGAAAGACAGTATTTTTCCAAAAAAGTTAGAATAAGTATAATTTACATCGAGTTTTTAATTAATAACTGTATTGTTTGTTTGTTGTTTTTTTTAAAGGACGAAAATCTGTCACAACCCACTGCATCACCAGCCTTTGGCTGCACCTTTGGACTTAAATTGAAACAACCTCATTGAGTTTTTGCCAGAAAGAGCAGTAAATTATTTTATAGTGAGCACATTGAAATGAAGTAATTCAAATATGTATCACAAATTATTTTACATTGAGTGACAAATATTACCGTTATTTTTCTCCCAAACAGTAGCAAGTTCAGTGATCAAAAAATGGATACTTGATGGACGAACCTTGAATAATTTGGGTAAAATATGCTACAAAAAAAAAAAAACAGAGTTTTATTTTATAAACAATATCAAACAACGAATAAAAATAAAATTAAAAATAAATTTAACCCTAAATATATATCTACACTCCAAATGTTTTTAAAATTTGCATAGTCACAAATCCCGTAAAATTAATACTTTAGGCTGAAATAGTAACACCCATTTAATTTTGAAAATGAGAAAGTGGATAAGTGTTGGTGGATAAATGTTACAAATAACACAAATTGCAATAATTTTTTTAAAAAAACCTAGGTTGATATCTTTTTAAAAAATGCAAAAAGTTGTAGCAATAATGAAATAATGCGATAATTTATTTACTGATTGATAATTTAAAAAATACTTCTGGCTCAAAATACTTCACTTCTTCAAAAAGATCTTAACATGCACTAAGTGCAAAACCTCAGCATTTTATCTTTGCAAGAAAAAAATATTATGCAGAATTAAATTTTAACTTGTGTCAAGTAATAAATGATCTTTGATTTACTAACTGTTGTTCTTGTAAGTAGAAATACTACTATTACTTAAATATATACATATATATATATATACATTGCCAATTGTTCAGTTTTTGCGTCCAAACTTGTCTATATGCCTAAAAAATCAAGTTTACACAACTGAATAATATTTAGGGGTTGCTCCAATCACTTGAATTTAATGAAATGTGTATTATCTAATAGTTTTGAATTTTTTTCGAAATATTACATTTCTAAGAGACGTGATGGCAATGCAAACGTTTGCATACATTAAGCATATCTATTTGTTGTTGTTGTTGTTGTTAATTTACGTCGCACTAGAGCTGCACAATGGGCTATTGGCGACGGTCTGGGAAACATCCCGGAGGATGATCCGAAGACATGCCATCACAATTTTGATCCTCTGCGGGGGGGATGGCACCCCCGCTTCGGTAGCCCGACGACCTTCGAGCGAAGTCGAGCACTATCTATTTGCAATACAATCTATCATTCAAATATTAACTAGCTGGCATTACTTTGTTTTTTGGTAATTTGAAAATATTAACTATTAATACACTACATATATAATTAACACTATCGTGATCAATCACTCTGTCTTAAGTGAAGGTTTAGTAAAATTATTTTTGTAAAAGAATCAAGATAAGCAAATTTTTTGTTAAAATGTGAAATATCATCATAGAATTTTGTTCAGATACAAAATTCTATTTTTTTTTTATTTTAAATGTGACAGTGATTGGCAATATAAACTTATGATTTTCATGACAAATGTTTTAATATATAAGAGTAATCACATTGGCAATGTGGAAATAAATATTTATAGTAACTAGACACCTTATACCATTTCAGTGACATTACTAATGATTTAGCTAGCATCTGAGGCAGTTCTACATGTATTTGAATAGTATAAGTGCAAGATATGAATTACAATACTTAAAAAATAACTTAAAAGCATTATGGTATAAAGAGGTAGGTTTAAAACAAGATACAGAATTCAATCTACAAAGAACTTAAAAATTAGTACATATTTGTCAAAATAGAGTTTATTAAAAGTACGACTTAAGTTTTTGACAAAAGTTCTTTTTAAAGAAGTTTCAAAAACATGAAATAGATACTAGTTCTGGAAATTAATATTATTTTCCACAAGGTTGCCACTCAAATCTGAAAAAAAAAAAATTCCCTGTACATATAATACGCAATATATTAAGAGGAAATATATAATCACTGTTCTCTTGTATGAGCTGTATTTTGCTAACTACACTAGTTATAATTAAAGGAACAGCTGAACACACTTGAATATAATAATGCTATAGAAAATGAACTAGTTTAATATAGCTGAAATATCATCTTTAAATATATCTCATAGATCAGTGTTTCCCAAACTAATGACTTTTGTGAACCCTTTCTAAATATTTCGTAACACTGGGTACCACTAATAAAAAAAAACTTATGTATTTTTCAAAAAATATGTTTTTCTTTCTTGGTACAAATTTTTGTTAATAAGTTTATTTGCATCAATGAGAAGGATGATTTTTTGCTTTGATAAAAAAATTGCACAAAAGTTAAAAATCACAGCTGGCTGTTGCCACTACTATAAATGTTAACTCTGCAAAAAATAGCCAATAGAAAAATACGTAATAGTTAATTTTCATGGCTAGCCTTGTTTTTAAATAAAATTTTTTGAAATTTTTGCTTGTTACAAGACATTTTGCATAAAAAATGATGACTCCGCTAAACTGTTTCCGTACCCCTGGGGCAAGTGTACCACACTTTGGGAAACACTGTCATAGATTATGCTTTGAGGGGTCATCATTTTTTAAAAGACGAAAATAAGATTCAAAATTCTCTGTATTTTCCCAGTTTCTAAAGAAAAACTCAAAATTCCCAGCATTTTACCTGTAATTTTAGGTGATTTTTAAATTCCCTGTGCTTTCCAGGCTTTCCCTGTGGAGTGGCAACCCTATCAGTAAATTAAAAGTTAAAAGGTATAAAAAAAATAATAAATAAATAAAAAGATTTGGAAGTACATACAATATTAAGAAAAAAACAATTATTAAATCATCAATAAGTGAAATGCACTATAATTGTAAACAAAATAATTACACACATCATTTGCAGCAGATACTAGTTCTGAAGAATCAAGGCATAAATGATGAATAAGCGGTTTTAACCAGATGGCTTGAAAATCTTCTTCGGACCCAAAATATCCCTGGTACAAAGATTCCAATAAATCTGAAATCTAAATAAATAAATAAAAATATTGATAATTTTTCAGTTAAAAAAAGAAAAATATATATAAAAGAGCACAACATAATGCGAAAAAATACTACTTAGAACGGACACATTTGGCTAATAAGAAAAGATCAAATAGAAATTATCAAAAGAAAACTTTCATCTGATTTATGATTGATTTAAAAAACTGGGATCTGTCTAGATTTTTGTTTTTATGAAAAGAGTTGTTTTTTTTTGAATAATCGATTTAAAATTTTAAGATTCTTAAATAAGTGTTAAATTAGTTTTTATAATCCGGGGTCCTGATTTTTTCTAAATATGAAAAAAAAGGAAAATAAGATTAAAAAATGAACAAAAAGTATTAAATATCATTTAATGAAGAAAAAAGGCTTTACTTAAATGCTTATCTATATATATATTTTCAATGTCATTAACATCGTTTGGTCGTATCATAATGGCATGCAATAAGAGATCATTTCAGAAATTATAATTAAACTGAAATAAAATGCTTAGGTTGAAAAATAATCAAAATTATATGTAAATTGATAAACACATGCTTTAGTGATCATTAACATGTTTAAGAAAATGATAAATAAATTGATTTTTAAATAACTAGAATGCAGGATGGCGCCACTATTTGGCCATTTCATCAGAGTGCTTACTATTGTATCATTGCAGCAACTGTGATTGAACTAAAATAAAAATTGTGGTTTAAAATGAAATAAATAAAATAATAGAAAAGGATTTCATTTAAATAAATAATAAATGTATTAAGGGCTAAGTGAAACCTGTTAAATTGACCACTTGTCTCAGTTGACTTCCCTCTATTATCAACATTTGAATTTATACTATATAATTAAAGGAAGCAAAGCCTTAATAACCTGTGCACCTACTTATCTTGGATGTTGATCATTAAAACATAAAAAAAGGTATAAGACTGTTATTGAATGCAATTTTAAACATTTCAAAAAATGACCACAGTAAACTCCTTAGTTGATCATATGAGAAAATGTTAAAGGCGTTTGTATGGCAATGGATTTGAAAATGAATGTATATGTATAGTAATGAATTTGGATGAAAGTACAATAATGGATTTGGAAACGATTGTTTTACGAAAACGATGTTACGGAAACGATCAGTTTGATATTAAATTTATATAGCAAATTGTAAGATTTTGTAATTAACATAATTTACTAAAGTACATGACATTTTTAAAAACTAAAATTTCAAACTGATATTAAAAAGATTATACTATTTTTGATTGATAATATACAAGAAATATAGGGAAAAAATCATATGCATACAAGAATAACATAATATTAAAAAAAAATCATTATAGAAAACTCATCTTGCTCTTCAAGTTGACCACCTGTCTAAGTTGGCCATCACAAGTGGTACTTTATTTTCAAACCATTATCGCTTTCCTATTACTACAAGAACATCAATTAATAATGTCAATGGCTCTGTTAAGGAGAAAATTTTGTGACATATTCATTTTTAAAATGAAAAATATTGTGAAAAGTTCATTTTCACAGTAATATAATTTGGAAAGGATCAGGTATTTGTGATAAAATAATTTGTGGAATTAACAGATCCTACTTTTCTCCTAACCTAACCCTTGGATGAAAGAAAATTTCAAAAACTTTTCACAATAATTAAGGATGTTATAGTACAGTTAAACCTGAGTAAGATGATCTTTACAGTTAATCTGCACAGTGTATTGCTTTAGTAATCAACTTATAAAGAGGGATTAGCTGGTTTTTTATACCATATATTATATAATGTTTCCTTAATATAATTTCGATATAAACAGTTCTTAAAATTAAAATAAATGCAATTAATTTGATTATAGTTACAATAGTTAATAATTACAATAATTAATAATAAAAAATATTTCATTTCTATTATAAATTTAAAATTAAACTTATTAGTTTGTGCATATTTCTTTGAGTATGCTTAAATATTATTTTTATTATTTTCTTTGAATACCAATACAAAAATATTTTTTTTTTTACTTTTTAAAAGAAAAATCTGCCACAATGTCGCTGCAACTCTGCCACGGGGTATGAAATAAATTTGGTTCTTGAGAATTGAGGTCAACTTGGACAAGTTGTCAACTTGACAGGTTTTGCTACACCAAATAAAAAGTAACATACATGTGAAATAAGATTTGAGTCCTTTGAAGCTTTATACAAAACTTCAGGCAGAGTGGGACACCATCTAATGATTGTATCAGTCCTAACTACGTTCACAATACAGCCGAGCAAACCATATTTTCCATTATTATATTCAGGAAGATCATTTAAAAGAAAAAGAGTCCAATTCTTAACCAAACAGCTTTTGCAAGGATCTATAAAAAATGGAGATATCTATCATCTATAAAATAAATGATAGGTAAAAATAAGATNAATTTGGTTCTTGAGAACTGAGGCCAACTTGGACAAGTAGTCAACTTGACAGATTTTGCTACACCAAATAAAAAGTAACATACATGTGAAATAAGATTTGAGTCCTTCGAAGCTTTATACAAAACTTCAGGCAGAGTGGGACACCATCTAATGACTGTATCAGTCCTAACTACGTTCACAATACAGCCGAGCAAACCATATTTTCCATTATTATATTCAGGAAGATCATTTAAAAGAAAAAGAGTCCAATTCTTAACCAAACAGCTTTTGCAAGGATCTATAAAAAATGGAGATATCTATCATCTATAAAATAAATGATAGGTAAAAATAAGATGAATTCATTTTAAAAAATGAACTAGTGTGATAAATATTAATTATTTCATCAATTTATTTTTATCAAATAATTTAAAAGAATTTGGATTCAATTCTGAAAAAAAATATTAATAATTATTTACATATCTTTTTTTTCCCAGTTACGAAATTCAGTGCATTTTTACTGTTATTTTATATGATTTTTTTTTTTTAAATCCCTCGTATTTTCCAGGTTTTCCCTATTTTCCCTGTGGAGTGGCAAACCTGAAGATGCAAAAAACCAGGAGGGGAAGTAAACCCAGTGTCAATACCTTTCAAATTGGTGCACATAAACAAAACAACAAAAAAAAACTAAATCTGTACAATGTCAATTTAGTATCATTATTATAAATTAATGTCACCAGTGACAACCTTTTAGAAAAAGCTGTTTACTTTACGTCTTTTCAAAAAAGACTAATTAAAAAAAAATGTGATTAAGGCCAATTGATGACATCACATTACAAATCTATTTTGATCCATTAATTTCTTCTTTTTTTTAAAAAAAAAGAACAATTTTTATGGATGGTTGACTGTGTAAAGATAAGCACAGATGGCGCTAGGGGTTAAAATTCATCGTAAGACTTCCGGGTAACTACTTCTGATTGATTTTTACACCTAAGCTCAGAAAAGCACGCCATCCAATATTCTTATACTTGTAGTGTTTACAACTTAAAGTGTTCTTTCAATTTACATATCAACGAAACAAACAGCAAATGAAATCAGAAGACTCCACAAGCATGCTATGGTGTAACCCAAAAAATAAGTAAGGGTGATATTTTCCATAACTAGAGCCAAATAAAGGATAAAACTCAAAACATGGTAAACCATGCTCCTTATTTATGGTTTGGTATTAATTTTCTTAAATTTCTTTTAGGCTCACAATCAGCTAACATTTATAAATTACAGGGAACTCTTATGAATTACGTGCAAATTAAAAGACAAATTAGATTAATAAAACTTCCTAGAATATAAAGCCTGTTCACAAATTGCCTTGTAAGCATACGATAAGAGGAGGAACACACTGGAAGTTTTTGAAATGCAAACCTTCCTCCCCAGTGGCAGAATTTTTTTGAGCTATCTGCGACTAAACTCTCTAGCACTAATATCTTTCTGCAAGATACTTTTCATACTAACAAACATGTATGTTACTAATTTAAAATAACAAATACATTGTGTTTACAAAATTTCTTAATTCAGCGTGTAATAATATTTTATTCTAATATTATGGGTGATAATCTCGAATTTCATTTTTTTTCGGAGGGGGGGGAGGGGGAAAGCACATATTATTTACTTCTTCACATTTTTTAAATAATCATAAGAATTAAAAAAAAATTATTAAATATCATGTAATCTGTTGTAGTAATTACCAAAAAAAAAAAAGATCTATGACGAAATCACATAAATCGAACTGCAGGTTTCGAGAATGAAACGCATTTTTCGAGATTAGGTTGTTGTAATAAATGATACAATCTCATAAAAAATATCGGATTTAATAACTATGAAGAAATCAATAGCAATAACTTCCAAAAATTCGATAGAATCATTACCTTAAAAAGTAAATACTCAAATGCACGATTCGTGTTTTCCATATCGTTTGAAATACATCGGGATGCTTAAAAACCACGTGAAAATCAATATCAATAACTGACGAAAATACAATCGAAGCATTGCATCGATTTACGATACTATCGGTGTAAATTGAGTGCGTCAAAAAGTTATTATCTAACTGCATGATTCAAATATTACGCGTAAATTTCTGTCAGAAAATGTGTAAAAAAAGAAAGTAACATTTCTTACTTCTCAAAAAAAAAATAATAATCTTTCTTCAAGAACTTTGTAAAGTTCTGCGACTATGTAGCCATGTCGCTGCAATTCTGTCACGGGGCCTTCCTCTATCAAAAGGTACCTCAAGATTGAATCAAGTTAGCATGTCTTGTATACTAATGAATTGATATTTAACAATAGTAGGGGTAGTAACGCCACAAACCATCCATAATAGAAGTTTGAAAATGGAATCAAATATAAGATTTTTTCAAACCACATTTAGAGCAGTGTCCACAATAAAAAGTTTACTGACAATTATCAATGTGTATCCACAAAGCAGAACATTTGAGCAGTAGAAGATAGAAAAGCAAAAGCAGCTAAAATTCAGTAAATCAGTATGAAATTCAGTATGAAAATTTTCAATAAGAAATGTTTCAAAACTTTAAAATTTATCTGACTTAAAAAAACTACTTCTGATAAGTTTAAAAAAGTACAAATTAGCAAGAGAGTAACTTACCGACGTCGCTAGATAACAAATGGAGGTTCAGCAAGTTTTTGAACAAATCTATGGTGAGATGCCGTAAAGTCTGAAAATAGATGTAATTAATAATCTAAAAAGAATTTTTAATAATCTTTGACTTTTTTGTCATAACAGATGGCTCCAATTGATTTTTCTAATCAAGAAAAATTGCTTTATTATATTGTTGTTTTCTTTTTCAGTTAGTGCTTAATGGTTCGTAGATGAGATATGTGAGACCTATGAAAAGTCAATCACTCATTTACAATTCATTGAAAAATAGCAGCTTAATGTTATTGAATAAATCATGCTCTTATAATATATTAAAGAAATGGGAAAAAAATTGGTACAATTTTGAAATTTACTTCGTTGTGCTAAGTTGTTATAGTTTCATTTTTCCACATTGTGTTTGTTTCTTTAATTCTTAAAATTTTCTATTTAATTTTTCTGATTTTTCTATTATTTAATTTTATGATTTATTAAATGTTCATTCCAATTAGTATAAAATAAATATAATGCAAATGAAAAAAAAAAGCATCACATATGTGAAGGTCCTTAATTCATTCAAAAACATCAACATGGCATTTTCTTAAATAACAAGTTCATAAATAACTTTAAGTTTTATTATATTTGTTCCACACACTGAAAAGTTTTTCTACGTTAATGTGAATGAAAGAGTGGGATAAATAACAGATCACACTTATTTTTATTAAAATATAATGGATACTGGAATTTTTATACTATTATGATCATAAAAAGTTTGTAATAGATCAATAATCAACCAAAACCAATATAATTGAGATTTGATTTTTCACTATAAATTTATATTTATATTATTGATATTATTGACAACTGCTACTAAATTAACTTTTTCACTGTGTAGTGGGTTCAATTATGGAACCCACACAAAAATTATTTTACTCGTATTTCAACAAAGCTATTTTCTAATAGTTGACAAATAACAAAAAGGAATTTTTTTTAACTCAAGATTGTGAAATAGGTCTATTATAAAACAAACCCAAAAACAGAGCTAAATTTTGAAATATATTACTAAGCTGAAAGAAAATTTTAAGCTGTAATGATTTTGGGAGGAATAAAAAAAATACAGTAATACATAATAAAAAGATATATCAGGATTGTCAACCAGGGTCCCCACTCAAATCTGGAGAGAAAAAATCTGTGTTTTCTCTGCACATATTATACACAATATATTAAGAGGAAAAACATAATTACTTTAATCTTGAGTGAGCTGTATTGGTCAAATTATACTAGTTTTAATTGCTGGAAAAACTTAGAGAAAAAAAAGGAACTGCTGAACATATTTAAATAATACCACAGTAAATAAAAGTCAAGTACTGACTAAAGTACCCATAAATATCCCATAGGTTGCACCTTGAGTGGCCCCGTTTTTTAAAGGACGAAAACAAGAAACAAAATTCTCTGTATTTTCCTGTTTGTATAGAAAAACTCCAAATCCCCTGCTATTTTAGGTGATTTTTTAATTCCCAGTATTTTCCAGGTTTTCTCTATTCTCCATGCAGAGTGGCTACCCTGTCAACTATTAAGACATTTTTTGTTAAAGAAATATGAATAGAAAACTGAAATCAAGTTCAAAATGGACCACACTTCACTATGCAAAACTTAAAAATAAAAACTTCTGATTGTTACACTAACAGAGCCAGCTATAGAGAACCATTAGCGCACCCAGTAATAAGTCTGCTATAAATTATAGTTTGCTATATTCAAAAATTATTGAAAACATATTCAGTAGTATTGTTGGAAATAGTGATAGCAATAATACATGACTTACTTTATATATTATTAACTAACTAAATATGCAGAATCTCTCGACAACCAAGTTTCTTTACAGCAAATTTTTCTTATAAATTTTTAATCAGAACATAAAATAAAGGTCTAAATATTATTCATATAATTACTTTTTAGATGTTTATTTATTCAATTTTCCTCTTTTTTGAAGAAAGTTCAAATTAATGGTAGGAGTTTCAGTGACATTGGATTCGATCTCCTAATGTATTAGTCTTTAAGGACCACTTTATTTCAGCAAAATGATTTTAAACACTTCTTATCATTATGTTAAAAGTCAAAATTATATACTTTAGGTCCTGATACAAAGACTAAAAATTGTGAATTATTGATGTAAATAACTGTAAATAACATACTTGAGTCCATTATAAACAAATTACCGATTTCTCAGCTGTTCATTACAAGTGTATGTAACATTAATTAAACAAATTAGCATAAAGATTAAAATTAGGTAAGCAATTTGGACTAAAAATGATCCCTTTAACCAAATGAACATAAGAACGGACCCAGAATAACATTTGATTTAATTATCCGATTTTCACATTCTAGGACTCAATCCAAAAGGTTTGAGAAGGTTTTTAGTATATATTTATTGTTTTTATTGTTTTATTTAATAATAGTCGAAAAAATTTGAATTTTAAGGTATAAAATTTTTTACATTATTTTAAAGACTATTATTTTTAAAATTTTTAAATTTAAAGAATTTTCATCATTTTAAAGAACTTTCCCTTTTGTCTGCCTTTTATTTTGCTCACTGTACACTTTATCCTTAGTTCATTATAGCTGTGTTAGATTGTACACGTATACAATCTTAAGATACCTACAACTTTAAAGATTCAAGAATATACTTACATCTATGTAATGCTCTCTATAATCCAGTACATGTTTGAATAATATCGATACATAATAACCGTTTTCAATAAACGTCTTCTTCAGTTCATGAGTAGAGTTATTTCCAGCCTTTTCTTTCCTCAGAACATTGCTGAAAAATAAAAATCTGTCTGAATCATAGCTAATGAAAATATACATAGTTTGTATTAAAAACAAATAATGAAATGTAAATACAATGAGTATTGAAGCTAAACATTTTTGCCAAAAGTAAATTATTATATGATCCCCATGCTCATAATATTTAACAAATCTGAGATAATTGAATTTCTTATTTCAATTGCTTTTAAATCAAATCATTAAGACATGAATTAAAGTTTTTTGGAATGACAAATCTTAATAACATAACATTTTTTGCTACTTTAAAATAGTGAAAACCCCTCACTTCATATTTTTTTTAAAATCTTGCCTCTAAATATTATTGAGTTTTTTCATAAAACAACTAAAGAGTACTGAAAATTATTAATATTAATACGATAATAAACATAATTACTAATATTATACAATTTATACAATAATTGAAAAGTATTAATACAATAATAAAAAGTAATAAGTAATAGTAAAAAGTAATAAGTATGAAATATCATCCTTAAATATCCCATAGATTAACCTTTGAGCAGAAACCCTTTTTTAAAAGATGAAAATGAGAAACAAATTTCCCTGTATTTTCCCAGTTTGTAAAAAAAAAAATTTAAAAAAAATTCCCTGTTATTTTAGGTGATTTTTGAAGACAAGAGAAGAAATTAAGGCCAATTATAAATGAACTTATTAAAAATAAAGAATGAGTAAAATTATCAAAAACCAATGGAATAGGAATGTGTTCGTCTTTTACTATCCACATTCTCAAATAAATGATTTAAGAATATTTTAATCCCTCTCTTTCAGTTAATAACCTCAATAGCAAATAGTTATAATTTGAATTCTTCTTCCAGAATTTATTTAAGAATACAATTTTAAAACTACAAATGAGCAATTTTTTTTTTCATTCTTTACAAGAATTCTAAAAATATATTTTAAGAACAGTCAATTCAAAACACCCTTCCAATATGATATAGAAGGTACATTTCTAATACAATGACAAGAATATTTATGCTATTTCTCAAAACTCCACTTTTGACATACAATTAGAACAAATAAATAACAAAACTAAACTGTTCATTTAAAAAAAAGTTAAGAATTAAAAATAACCTGAAAACATTTGTCCACTGTATCAAGGCTCGTGTAGACAGCAATAATAAATCTGCATCTTCCACACTAAACAAATACAATTTATAATTACTCTCGTGATAAAATTGCAAACATTTATAATTCGCATCATAATAACTAGCAGCAAACAACTTACCTTTTAGAAATGGATATAATTTCCTCCAAAATAATATAAATAGGTGATTGTGAGCATGTTTGCTCCATAATTTCGTCTGAAGAAACAACAGCCATAATACCACTAAAGATGCACAGTTGAGACGATTGAGAGTAACTCTTTATTTTGTCAAAAGCAAACTCCAATCTGCTACTGTTTTTTGCCTGTTAAAAATATTAACAAAAATTGGAAAAATGATTTAATTTCAGTAGCAACTCTATTAATCGTCTCTCAAGGAGCCCTTCATTGCAAACTCAATACACAGGAAAGTATTTTTTGATTTTTATATATAGATGAATGTGTGTTAATATACAAAACAAAACAAAAATGAATATAAAATGTATAAAAACAATAAATAGTGGATTTGAAACCTGATAAATTTTCAATTTAATAAGTGTAAAAAATTCAATGTACTAAATACTAAAATAATAGTATACTTAATACTAAAATAGCTACAAAATAAAGAACAAAAATATTTATTTATTTAAAACATTTAGAAAGTTTCATCTGAACTCCACTGTTCTCAGCACAAACAATAATTTTTTTTAAAAATAAGTGTAAAAAATTTTAGTTAAAAATAATAATGTACTCAATACTAAAATAGTTACAAAATGCAAAATGAAGAATAGACATATTTATTTATTTAAAATGCTTGGAAATTTTCATCTGAGCTCCACTCTATTCTTAGCACAAACAATAAATTTTCGACATCAGTAAAAGACTGCTGTTTAGTTTCTGTAAATTAGTTTACAGAAAGAATTGATAAATTAGTTTTCTGTAAATTACTTCAAAAACTTTGAGACCTTCGGAAAATTTTGTCACTGGTTGTGGTTTCATTTTACCGTTTTCATAGGTATCACTTTGCACTTTTTTAGTTACAGCAACAATTTACTGAACTAAAAAAAAAAAAAGTTTTAGCATATATAGTATGTCTAGAGTAAGAACTCCCCCAGATATTCGCCTGGACCCGTAGCAGTGACTACGGTAGCAAGGTGTAACTATTTCAATATAAGAGTATACAAGATGCATAATAAGAGTAGATTACTTGTGAACAGCAAAATTTCATAATAGATTATTATGAAATTTCTCAAGAACCGTAATTTATATAACTTAACAATATAACTGTAATCTTGATAATGAAGTAAGTCATCATCATTGCGTATAAATCGTAATAGTTGGCAATAAATCCAATCAATATTCCACTTGAAATATTAATGATTAAAAGTTTTACTCGTAAACAAAAAAATAAACAAACTTAGATAAAATGCTTAATTGATAAATCACTGATAAACACATTATTTGATAAACCATACATTATATAAACTAAAATTAGACCACAATTTATTTAAATTACTTAATACAAATCAAAGTATATTTTACAGAATAAATTGTAATTGCTTTTGTTGAGATACATTTAAGTATACTTTTTATTCACACAAAAAAAGTTTAATAATGACATGATTTTAAATTTATAAAGAGAAAAATAATTATTCTTAACCTCAGTTGCTTTTGGGTCATTCAACAGAAAATAAGAATATGCAATTCCGGCATTCAAACGACAGTTTAAATAAGTTTCCCCTGGAAAAAAGTTTAATATTATTTCAAATAAATAATTATATTTGTGTATGGCAATAAGTAATAATGTACACATAAATAGTGAATAATATACATACAATAAAAATTAGTCATTTTTTCTTTTAGAGAAAAAGTAATAAAAGTTTAAGCTTCTAATGATATGAATAAAACTACAAACAAAACATTAAACATAAATTTAAATACTTTTCTAGATATTAATATAATAACTAATTAAAAAATTTAAGATTTTTTTTAAATATGTTGAAAATGTCATTTTGTAACAGAAAAGTTGTTTATAGTAAATATCTTATATACCATGATCAAATTGTACAGTACAGAAAGAGCTTTGAGTTTTCTAACAATTTTCTTTAAAAAAGCTAATAAATAGAAAGCAAAAAATAGAATTTTAATTTCTCGTTCAGCTGTTAGCAAGACAAAAGCCTTTTCCGATACTCTAATTTGATTATAAATAAAATATTTGATACAGTAAATAAGTTATATGCAGAAAGGGTTACAGTCTTGCTAACAGTTTTTCATAAAAGCTAATAAATAGAAAGTAGGAAATAGTTTTTTATTTAGTTTTCTCGCAAAGTTGTTAGTAAGACTAAAGCTGTATACATTATTTTAATTGTGATAAATAAGGAATGATAAGATAGTTGGTATGGTACATAAGTTGTATGCATAAAGTTTAGTTTAACATATTCCTTAAATGCTTTATCATGTTACTGTCTAAATATATATGTATATATATATACATATATTCTGTTAAGTTAAATAGGGCAAAAATAGTTTAATATGTCAATTTGCTTATTTATTAATTTGAATTCCTTCAGCCTCTGAGTGAGAACATAAATTAAATTTTATAAATTATAACTATTTAAGTTACATTTTGGATTTTATTATTTTCAGCAGATATGGCAGTTTATTTAAGAATTGTGTAAAATAAAATGAATATATTTCTTCTTTGTGAAAGAATTAATTTTAATCAAAAAATTTTAACAATAAACAAACTTTGGTTTCAAAAATATATATATAAAAAAATTGCTGAAACTTTAAAAAAAAAAAAAAAAAAAAAAAAAAAAAAAAAAAAAAAAAAAAAAAAAAAAAAGCAAGATAAATTTGGGAGAACTTTCATATAAAAAAAACTGCTTTCTGGGGAAATACTAAGCTTTGCACCCTTGTCATTACCATATTTGATTCAATAAGTTGTACTTTATTTTATAAATACATCAAGATATAAAATTTTGAATATTAAATAAAATATTACAATACCACATAGTATCAAAAGCATTATGCATCTTAAATACAATACTGTGACTGCAGCAGGTTTAATAATTATTCCAAAACTTTGTAAATAAATAATTATTATAAAATGAAATAGTTAAATACCATTTTGTAATAAATGAACCAAATATTTTTCTATTTGTTGACTGTAACTGCAAGCACTCCTGATTAGATGCTCGGCTTTTTCACATTTTTGAAAGATAGATATAACTGTCTTTAAAACAGCTTGACAGGCATGGCTCTCTTCAATAGAGATTTGACTGAAAATAAAATAAATGCATGACATGATTGAAAATCAGAGAGAGAATTTAGGGACTAATCATCATTTTTACTTAAATTAAGAAAATTATATAATATTCTTAACCAACTTTAAAAATAAAAGAATGCAGTACAATAAGATTAAAAAATTCGTCAGTCGTTTTGAATGATGAAACAATGAATAGCTATTTTTATTTTTTCAAAAAACAACCAATAAAATTCCACGAAATTATCAAGTACACTGGCAAAATGGTCAAAATACAGGCTTTCATGCTAAACTTCTCAATTATTTTATTAAAACAAACAGGGTACAAAATTTTAATGTGGATAAATTCTTTACAAATAAATATAAATTGTATAGACAAATGTATAAATTATTGCCATTATAACAAAGACCTACTTAATTAAAATTTCATTAAAAACAATATTTACGAATAGTCTCTTAGTAAAACTTATATACATGTTTTTGGATATAAATGTCTTGGAGTCACTTAGGTATATCTTGATGAGCGCTGTAGTTTTGGGGAGAGTTAGGGGGACAAAACTAAACCCTTTCCAAAATTATATATTACTTGATTAATGAAGTATTGTATGGTATTCACGATGTAGATATACAAAAAAATAAATGATATATATATATTAGAAGGGGGAGATAACCGATAGCCCCTTCGAACACACTTTAAAACTACGTCACTGATCTTGATCAGTACAATAAATTGCAAAACATATATGATGCAATCCAACAGAGATGGTTACTATGTCGCAGAAGTAAGTGCTTAGCACAAACTATTAATGTAAAGTTATTTATTTTAACTGTATATTTATCTCTTAAGTGTGACTTAACTTCTATAGGATTACATCATCTGTATTCTACCATACTTGCCATCTATCCCAAAACTGACAAAGGTGCACCATTTTTATTAAAACCTATGCACCAAAACATGTATAGGTTTCAATAAAAGTTATTACTACTTGTGGCTTTTAAACATTATTTTCAATGAAATGTAATATTGCTCACAAAGGATTACTCCTGAAATTTCATTTATTTAACTGCTTTTAACATTTCAAGGAAGGAAATAATTTTGATTAATACAAAAATAATGATAATTGACTAAAACAAATAATAAACTGAATTTATAAAGGTAATACAATTAAAATAAAATTAGTTTATTTGCAGATATTAAATCATTATATTATGTAGCTTTTAGTAATATTATTAGGTGGTTTACTTATATATATTGTATTACCCTGTATTTTCCAGGTTTTCCCTGTGGAGTGACAACCAGGTTAAATTTTTATTTCAAGTATGAATGAATTAACACTAAAATTACACGATGGCAAAAAAGCAAAATTATAGTTCTCACCTAAAAGAATCTTGCAAATAATCAACTAATTCTGAAATACATCTCCAAACTAAAATTTAAAAAAAATAAATAAATAATACACCAGTAAATAAACTATAAAAAAAAGTTTATGATCAAAAATACTTAAGATAAGAATATTTATATTCACCTAGCATCAATTCATTATTGATAACTTGAGGACCTGGCAATAAAAATGGTTTTAAAAAAAGATACAAAATGAAATTAAAGTTACATAGATGACATAGGTTAAATACATAAATAGAGTGAAGCTTAGAGATTCCCTTAATAATCAGTACTACCAATAACATTATTAATGTATTAATAAAAATAATAGGCTAATTTAAAGGTTTATTTAATAGTTTAGAAAAAATAACCATTTATTGATTCAACATGTTCAATGACAGCAGAGTACAGGTGGTTATGCTGTTTCTATCATTAAAAGTTATAATTAATAAAGATAAAATCAAATTTACATTTTCTTATAACAACTGTTTCAGGTTCTATTAATTGAAACTGTTCTGTTAAGAAACTTTTGTCTCATGCAGGTGTGGAAAAAGTGTCAACTGAAAGTGTTGAGGTGTAAAAATAACTGAATTTATATTTACAAAAAATAAATAATTTTATTTAAATTGAAAATAATTTAGTATAACTAAAATATTATTTTTAGTTTTTAACCAAAATTTAAATTATTTGCTGAATTATATCAATTATAAAAATAGCAAATAATACATTATAAATTGCAATACTTTGTTCAAAGTCCTTTTTTGATCTAAAAGAATTAAGTAGTTGTAATTATTGTTAAAGTATTGAAACAAAAAAATAATATTTGTTACAGATAAAAAAAGACATCTAATAGGCTAAGTTATTTTTTGTTCTCTTTTAAAAGTTAAAATAGAAATTTCCTAGTTATCAAAAAATAAAATTATAAATGCAACGATATATAGATGAAGAACATTGGTGTCGAATGGGCAAGATAGAATAAGCTGATTAAGTCAGTTGCGGCCAATAACTGGCTGTAGTGCTAGTAGAAGAAGAATTGTATTTTATATCTATATTGAAACAGGTTAATGCATTCTTACTGTTTAAATTTAATTAAAATAAAAAAGAGTAAAATTATAATTAGATAAATACAAAAAAATGTAGAGTAAATAAGGATCTAGCATAAAAATTAAATAAGCAATAAAAAAAGTCATTATAACATTTACCAAGTTTAAAATTGTTATCAAGAATTCCTAAGAGGCAATCAGTCGTTTCTTCTATTAGTTTAATGGACTTTCCAGCTGATTGAATCTGTATAGAATACCTCAAATTATTTTCTAAGGCTAAAAGAACTGCAGATGGCATCTGCTCATATGTATCTAGAAAAATTCTGTAATAAAAAAAAATTTGACTTTAAATTCATGTATAAGGAAATTAATTGTAAATTTATTAATTCATATCATAATAAAAAAACAAACAAACCTATTCAATGCTTTTTTCAGTGAACTCTTTAAAGATGTTCTGCAAAATACATATGAGAGAACATTCAAATAACAATGATAGTTTTCTTCATTTTCCTTAGATACTAACTGTTTATGAATCTGAAAGAAAAATTTAATGAATCTGAAATAAATATTTCTAATGTCGGGACTTTTTAGTTAATAATGAGTATTATAAATGCATGTATACTAATCAGTGCTGTCTTAATAGCATGCAGCAACAAAAAATAATAATAATAATAAATAAAAAATTATGGATTTTTTTAACTAGTAGAAAAAAACTTTTTATAAAGTAAAAAAAAAAAATAATAAAACTAAATAATTTTAAAACAGAATAGGAAACATTTAAGTTAAAAATTAAAAAACATAATAAATAACAAACAAAAATTTTAGTTTCAGTAACTAGTTATCCCTTTTTTTTTTCTTTCAAATTTTGCTAACATAATCAGAAATTACATACAAACATTTCAAATATATATTAACTATTTAAAAAAACAACTTGTAATAAATTTTATTTTCTTTATCATACTAACATACATACATGTGTGAGTAAGTATGCATGTTTAAAAATTTGCATTTATGAGGATTTCAGAATTTTGAAATTCTATCTTAATAAATGTGATTTTGAGTGAATAACTATTTATAAAATTTCGAGTTTAAAAAATTAATATTCATTAATATAAATAGCAGAATTCATTAATATAAATAGTTACTAGCAGAATATCATAAAACGAACCTCTTTCAGTATATTTATTTGTTGAACTGCATCATCCCTACTATTAAGTTCTGTCAGGTAACCAATAAACAATATCTTGTGATCTTCATCTAAATTAAAATGTATAAATATATGTGTGATACAATAATTTTACTAAAAAAAGGCAAGGCTAAATATTGAAAAATTAGCAATCATTATAAATATTAACTAATTCTTAAAAAGTATCTATAAAAAATATGAAGTTTAGATATTATTTACAAAAACTGAGAGATGACTTACTTGTTATGGTAGCTAAAAAATTGTCAGAAAATGAATAAATTATGGGATCAAATGTTTTCTTCTTCGATCGCATTTTATATTAATTTATGAGATGATTTAATTCTTAAGCAAAAGGCGAAATTGTATTCAAATGCTAAATAATAGAATTAAAAGTTTTACTTATATAACAATGTGAGATTATTTAGAATATATGATTAGAAATATAAACATGTTTTTATTATTTATAAACATGTGTTCAATTCAACAAATGTGTACGCACAGTGTAAGTGTTCTCTTTTGACACTAAAGATCCTCTTATATGTTTACGAGCATGCGCACAATGATAAAATAACGGCATGGGACGACGCCGTTCATTTCAAGAATACGACGAATTAAAATTTATCAAGAAATAATGAAAGATTATTAAATGGATTTAAAATTATATTTTATTCAAATTATTATTTTGAGTTGTGTCCACCCATGTAGCATTTTCTTCATTTCTATAAATTAATTTGAAGTGTGTGAAGGATCTTTATTTGATGTTAAAATGTGTAATTAATTATTAAAGCGTTAAATAAGAGCAATTATAAGCAAAAAATTTGACAAAATTGAGTATAGTTTTTAAATCCGAATATGTTTTTATAATCCTTAGTATTTAAACGATCTTTCAACAGGATATAAAGAAGAGGCAGTAATGAATGTATAATAAAATATATTTACAACTAAAGACATTAAAATATGTTGAGACACTAGTATTTATTGAATATAGGTAAATCTTCAGTCATATATGAGAGAGGTACTAAAAAAACGCATGGCTCAAACTAACAGCTCATGGCAAAGCAGAGAATTCTAAAAGCTATCAAAATTCCTAAACCTACTTTTGACGTCAGTGGGAAATAGAATAACATAAACGTAAGTTGTTGTTCTTTTATTTCCTAATTTTTTTTTCATGGAATTAACATACAGGGACACGATGCGAAGCATAGTATACTTTTTGCATTCGTTCCCATACATCAATTCATGTAATTACAAATTTACGCTAGAAGTATGTAACTTTTTAAAAATTCTTATATTTAAATAATACTATTATAGATGGCACCACTACCGAAATCTTTCTAAACTTTTTTTACTTCCCAAATTCGAAGTTAGGTCGTTGTTAGCGGAGAAAAAAACGAATTATTGAATATAAAAGTTTTCGTTTTTCTTTCAAAGGGTGTCATAAATAAAATTTATAATGTAACTCACGCGTCATTAAAATAGTTTTTACTCATCTTATTAAGAGAAACAAAGTCTAATTTTTTTTCAGACTTAATGATATACTACCATACCCAGAAAAAAATTATAGAAAAATTTAGGGTTGCGCAATTGGACATAGAATGGTCCCAATGTGCAACCAAAACCGCGTGAATTGCGTTTTGTCGCCAGATTGTCATAATACGAGGTATTAAGACTTAAAGCGCAAAACTTCTCTTTTCACGTGACCCTTAGTTCGTTCCCGGTNGTTCCCATACATCAATTCATGTAATTACAAATTTACGCTAGAAGTATGTAACATTTTAAAAATTCTTATATTTAAATAATACTATTATAGATGGCACCACTACCGAAATCTTTCTAAACTTTTTTTTACTTCCCAAATTCGAAGTTAGGTTGTTAGCGGGGAAAGAAAAAGCACACACACCTTGAATGAAAACAAATTATTGAATTTAAATGTTTTCGTTTTATTTCAAAGGGTGTAATAAAAATTACGTAACTCACGCGTCTTTAAAATAGTTTTTACTCTTTTTATTAAGAGAAACGGAACAAAGTATAATTATTTTCAGACTTATTGTATATTAAAAAATTATATAGAAAAATTTGGGGTTGAGCAATGGGGCATAGAATGGTCCCAATGTGCCACCAAAACTATCTTAATAAAATATTTCTTTATTTTAAGTGCTTTTATAATAATAATAAAAAATAAGAAATTATTAAAAAAAAATTAAATACATGCCTTGAATACTATCTACAATTAGTATTAACCAATAATTTTGAAACTTGGACAGATATATTATATTTTTTATCCATATTAGCATACAAAACAACAAGATCATAGACATTCTAGGAGCCTCAAAGTGGGTCATGACATGATCCCTCTCTTTAATCTGTGCAAAACAGCGGAAATTACCGAAAAAGCTTGATTTGCAATCTCCAACAAGATAGCCATAACCGTGGTATGATTTTTAACATCATTCTGTTAATCAGTTGGTCCGTGGTTCGATTTCCAGTGCTGTCGCTTTTAATAATTTCTATTACAAAACAAACAAACAAAATTTTTCCTCTATGGTACTGCTAAAATTAAATTTCAAAACAGTCAGATACTTAAAATTCGATTTCTAAAATTAAAAAAGGAAGAAAAAAACGTTCAAAAATTTAAAATTAAATTTCAAAAAAGTTAAATATTTAAAATTCGACTTCTCAGGAACTATTCAAATTTTGAGTTTTATCATGTAAAATTATATTCTTTTAAATGATGCATAAAATTTCATATCATACAGTTCAAACTGTTTTCGACCATTCTTAAATAAAATAATAAAACAAATAATAAATATTTACTAAAAGTTTTTTTTTTTCTTTTTTTTTTTACATGGCATTATCTTTGGAAAAACGAACTTTATTAATTATGTGCAAAAAATGTTCGATTCACTTAAAAAGTTCTCGAGATATAGTGAACTACGCAAAAAGGGTAAAATTAGCATTAAAGGGTCCTAACTCTCGATCGCTCTCCTGACCAAACTAACATATTTCCCAAATTTCGATTACTTCCTAATTTTGAGGATCAGAAATCCAAATCAGTCAAAAAAAAATTTATGTTTATTCAGAGAAAGTACGTTTTTGTGTCTGATTTCATAATTAAAAATATTGTCTGCACTTATTGATTAGCATGTTTCAGGCCAACCCCTCGAGTCATTAAGATTGGGTCCTAGAACATGAAGATCCGATCATTAGATCAAAAGTTATTCTGGGTAAACTGTTTTTTTTTTTTTCGCACTATAAATACAAATATTCCATTTATTAAAATATAAATTTTTTTACAAAAGTCCCGCAGTGGACTGATCATAAAGACACGGTTCCCAATAGAACACCGAAGTCAAGCATCACTAGATGCGGTCAGTAAGCGGGTTAGTGACCACTTTGATCAGCTAGCTTAGGGGCCGAGGGTTCGCGGTATCGGTCCTCGTTAAACTGGTCTACCGTAAAGTGCTCGACTTAATTCGCAGGTTGCCGGGCTACCAAAGCAGGGGAACCATCCCCTCAGGAGAGGATCACAATTGCGAAGGCATGTCTTCGGATCATCCTCAGGGATGTTTCCCAGAGCGTCGCCAATAGCCCATTGTGCAGCTTTAGTGCGTCGTGAATAAAGTACCTGCCTCCTTTTCAAAATATATATAGTTACAAATTTATTAAACAATCGAACTTTGCCTTAGTTTCGTTACCACTGTTAGAGTTCTCTTAGAACTATAGAAACACAAATATAATATCTATATATTTACCGAAGCGGAAGTTGCAGATTTACGTAATATCAAAAGTACTAAACCAAAAAGGTTGAAAATCATTGGCATGAATTGTTATTATAATTCCACAAGCCTTTTTATGCTTGCTATTCATAAATTATATTTTTCCATGGGTAGTGGATTTTTAATTTTTTTAAAAATAAATAATCTAATTTATTCCTTTTTATCTGCCGGATTTAAATTTCACTCAGTTTAATTAACAGATCTTTATCCAACAAAAAAGAAAACAAAAATCTTGCCAATCAAAATTTCGACCACTTTTTGACTAGTTAAAGTGCTCAAATTTTAACTGGTCCTCTGTAGTGGATGAGTATGAAATTTAAAACCTCTTTCTGAATTCATGGCCAATCGAAGTTTTGACTATTTTTCGGCCTGAACAAGCCAGGAGACACAAAACTGATATTCAGAAAGTACTAAATTAAAAAAATTTATACACAATTTAAAAACCACGTTTGTTCAGCAATATAAACTAAAAAGGAGAAAATAAGTAGAAAAATTTTCAAACATTACAAAAACGCAAGGGAAAATTTTTTACAATGAACTTTTATCACCATTTAAAAATCCTCCTTTTTCGTTTTCGTGACACAAAGATAAACATTTATTTTGCATTTTTAGTACATTTATCAAGCGTGTTTTTAAAACCATTTTAAGTCCCGATTACACTTTTAAAACCACTCAGTCAGAGATGTTCTTTAAAATTTTAATCTCATTGCAAGTTTTATTCATTTAAATAAATATGTATTTCCTGGCAAAAAAAAAGTGTATTCAAGATTTGGGGAAAATTATAACTTATTTTTAAATGAACAGCACTGGTTCTGTTGTTGTTATTGTTGTCGTCGGCCATTAAGGCACTAGGGAGGCGATTGATCTTGTTTTCCAGTGGCGTCATCCATGGCCAGGAATTTGACTTATGCCACACCCGTTTATGGGACGGACCCATTCATACAGCCATTCATTCATCCACCGATTGCAATTTTGATCTGAATCAGAGAACGATCAATTCCCAATCCAGTACCCGCAGAAGCTTAATTTCTTATGGGAACATGGAGGACTTTGTGACCCGACAGATTTAATGTGCACCAGTTACCATTTACTACGCGGGGAGTCTTCGGCTGGGGGGGATCGAACCCACGATATCTTCGACATGGGCCCAGTGCCCTACCAACCTATCCCAGCCCTTAGCTTTGGTTATTGTGAGTGACTATTAGTTTTATGCGCTTGAAAAAGTTTTTAAAATGTTTGCGTATGAACTTTACGACCTGGATCGACTAAGACAGCTCTACTATTTTCGTTACTGTTCAACTGCATTTTTTGTTTAAATATTTAAATTTATTGAGTCTGTCGAAATATTTTTTATTCATCTAGGCCATAAGAAAAAATAGTACTCTAACTGTTTGATTTTTGCCTCGCTGATGCTTACAGATCGTAAAGAAATAAAAATAATGAAGAATCCATTATTTTTATTTCTTTACGATCTGTAATAATATGATGATGAACTCATTAATAATAATGAAGTATTCATTATTTTAATAATGAATACTTAATAATGAAGAATAATGACGAATTCATTATTTTAATAATGAATACTTAATAATGAAGAATAATGAAGTATTTATTATCTTAATAATGAATACTTAATAACAAATATTTCATTATTTTAATAATGAATACTTAATAATGAAGAATT